ACAGAACTCGAGGGAAATGCATTACATCGATGCTTTGCAGACATAATTTTTTCCCACTGTTCTTTTTCTTCCTGCTCATAAAATTGTACAGCTGGAGCAGTAAAATCTGAGCTCACTGTACATGTACAGTAGTTATGCCCTTCTGAGGCGGTGTCCTGCAGCCTTTTCCCAACCCTGTCACTGTGAGAAATCTTTGACTGGTAGCTTTGTATTTTGAATATAAAAGAGCAATCACATTTTTAAGGTGTTCACAGAGGTCTTTCCGTGGTTTGTCACAGCTCCTTGTCCAGGAATCAAGAATGTAACTTGAGACTGTCTCAGGAAAGGAATCTAAACTGCAGATTTTTTTTCAACTGATGGAAGTGATGGAGCTTCTAGAGGAATCTTGAAAATCAGTTGCTATTGCTGTTGCTATTGCTGTGTCTGTTCCTGGAAGTTTAGTAATAGATTTCCTGTATCCTGGGGGTTTGCAATCATGTCAAATCAACTTTTATTCTCTGTATTTCTAGGTTTTCTGATTTCTAAGTCTAAGAGGCTTAGAGCTCTTGCTGAAGGAAGATGGAACAACAGATCAAAGAAAACATCATAGTAGCTTTTAAAACCTGCTATTTGTGTTGATATTTGTTCAATTAATCTTGGATTATTTGCCTTTCTCTTTTCCTTCTAAAATTCAAAATGGATGCACAACTAAATATGTTGGATAAGACAAGGGATGAAGACTTTGGAGGTGGGGAATTTGGTAGTTTTAGGAAGGGTTAAAGTAGAATATTTTGTTACTGCTTTTGTAAGCTAGAAAAATCCTTGCCATTCCATGTTACACATTACTGGAGCTGCAGTTGTAGTGTAGGTCCTTGGAGTAAAACATGCTGTACAGATAGAAAACTAAAACAAAAGACTGAGAGTTGGGATGGTTTTTATCACAGATTCTTCTGTTGCTTTGCTTTTTTAATGGAAATTTTTTTTAATGAAGTCATATCTAATGATAATGGCATTTTTAAATTCTAGCTTTGTTTGGGTTTTGGTTTTTGTTTGTTTTTAAATTAGTAAAGACAACCTTGATCTGTGGGTACTAGGTTACATCAGTGAAAAAAGAAACAAAGTTTACAGGCATCTTGTGCGTCTTCGTTAATTGTCATAAAAGAATACAGACACTTTTTTAGACAAGAATTTTGGAAGCCCTCTCTTTAATACTTTCTCCTTTTTTTTTCATTAGTGCTCTGTACTAATGTATAGAAAGTGATGAAACTAGTACTCATTTCATTTAATATTTTATATGTTTCTTCAAATACTGCTGTTTTGGTTGCTTATTAGAATGGCGGTGTCTGCTGGTGGGGGACATTGGCACTGCACCAGACGCTGACATGGAAACTGAAGCATCTGCTTGCCTGAATATTTTTTTAATCTTTATTAAACAGTTTTTAATTAAGAATTTTCTTCCTCCCAGTCTCAAATCATATTTCCTCATTTTATCTACAGTCAAAATTAAGTTCATCAGTTTGTGATATCCTGCTCATTACTGTGACAGCAGCCTGCCAAACAGATTTGATGAATATGAGGAGTTGGATAGATAAGAAGCTGCTTTGTGAGCGAGGAAATGTTCTTGTTCAGCCCCATCTAATTAATTAATAATATCTCACTTATGCTCAAAACTGTTGTCATTGTGATAATTTGGAGGCAGTGGCTCTCTGCTGCCTGTTGCTTCTTACTCTGCAGTAGGTGTGGTTGGGCGTGAAGCCTCAGCCGTGTGTCTCTGCTCAGTGCAGTGTCTGAGGTGGAGCGTGGCCCTCCATCTGCTCTGTCTGGACACTGCCGTTAGACAGTGGGAGCCAACTTAAGAGGAAGTAAAATGACAGTATTTTGAAAGTTCTCTTTTTATCAGGCTACCAATTGTGCTTTTAAGAAGACTAGATTGTGTCTGATGGATTATAGCATGTCATTGTTGGCTTGTTGGGGGCTGTCAAACTGGGTGTGGGGTTCCACACTTGTCTGAGGCGAGTACAAGTCCATACTGCTGCCTGTACGTTTGCTGGGCCTTTTTTTGTGGTTCTAACCTGCTAAATTGTGCTTCTCATGTACCGCACGATCAGGAGGATGAAGATCTCCTTTAAAAACCCCATTTAGCTGTTCAGGTTGTTTGAGCTCTGTTCCCACAGCAGTCTGATCTTTCTGTGCTATGTTGTTTCCCAGGAGTGTTTCAGCCATGTATGTGCCTGCCTTTTTTCTTAAAGTACCCTTTCGTCCTGAAGAACAAATTTGGCTTAAGCAGTGGTGGGACAGACACATGCTAGGAAAAGGAGAAGAGACACAATCTGCTTGAGGAGCCATAGATTGCCTGGCTGCCAAAGTGTAGGGCGTAGTTCAGCATGTGCTATGAAAACAGAAAACTTTTTAATATAAGTGTCCTGCTGTCCTGTCTAAAATATGAATCACCGTATTTTCAGTGGCTTTGGTGATATTGGGAGAAATGGCACTGACAGAAATATCGAAATGCATAGGTACCGTAATAAATATGATATTAATTCAGAAATTATGAACAAATTGAGACCCAGTGGAGTTACATTTTCTCAAAAAATCTTAAGTCACAATGAGCTGATTCTAGACAACCATATACGAAACTATAAGCTTGTCTTTCAGAGAAGTTAGTGCTCTCTTGTGTGCTGTATTCAGGGCTTTTTGCATTTTTGCATTGCTCATTGTGCTAGTTTGAATTGTGATAAGCAGTCTGATCCTTGGTAAAAGAAACGCTAAAAAATCCCAACAAAACAAAAAGCTAACTCAAAGGTCATTATTAGTCTATATAAATGGAAGTTTTTTGGATGTTGTCGATCCAGTCAGCAAAGCTTATAAAGGAGATTTTAACACAAACAGCTGAAGTAATAGTACTGCAGACTCAACTGAAAATGTCCATATGTCTTTAACGTATCAGTGAATGGCCATGAGGAGATAGTCAGTGATAAACACTGAATTTGCTGCCCAGAGTGTCTCCACATCTACTTTATTTTTACTTTTGCTGCATTCCATAGAACATGGTGTCAGTAGCTCAGGTAACTTTGTTTTGTCTGTATCTGGCCTTTTTGTCAGACACAATGCTCTGAAGGTCTATGTGTTCTGAGCCTTAGAACGCAATGAAGGGACGGTGAGATAGCCTTGCTTTGCTCAGTGCATTCAAAAAGTTGTAGGAATATTCCAATTCAGCTTATGACTGCAGTCAGTTCCTGATCAAGTATATTTCTTATAGAAATATACTTTCCTCTCAGGCATTAAAGCATTATTGAATGCTTTAGCTAGTACATAAATAAATTCAATGTCAGGTTTCAATTTTGACCAACAAGAATGTATTTCTAAAGTCAAGAAGAGATTTAGGTGATAATGTAGTTAATTGTCCTTTTGATTGTAGGTGAGGCTCCAGAGCATCATGAATTGGTATTTCAGCTGAAGCATTTCATTGCAGCTTTAATTGTTAAATGCACATTACTTGTGACTGTTAGTGAGTCAGTTGGGTGTTGAACAGATCCCATTCCATGGGATTGCAGTGTGCTTATCTTCCTGAAGAAAGAGGGGAGACTGAGGGGAGACCTCATAGCAGTCTACAGCTTCCTTGTAAGGGGAGGAGGAGGTAGGAGAGGCAGACACTGATCTCTCTGTGGTGACCAGTGACAGAACCTGAGGGAGTAGCCTGGAGCTGTGTCGTGGGTGCTTTTCTTTGGGTGTTATAGAAAAGTTCTTCACCAGGGGGTGGTTGGCACTGGAACAGGCTCTCCAGGGAAGTGATCACAGCACCAAGCCTGACAGAGCACAAGTGTTTGGACAATAGTCCCGGACACATGGTGTAACTTTTGGGAATGGTCCTGTGCTGGGCCAGGAATTGGACTAGATGATCCTGATGGGTCCCTTCCAGTTGAGCTTATAGTGTAATTCTGTGTTATTGTGTGCTGAGCTCAGTGCTAGGCAGCTGTTGCCCTGGCAAGTTTTGTGCTGAGGCCTGCTCATATAATGGGACTGCAGTAGAAGCACTTTGCTGTTTGTTTGCACATCTCCTTCTGCCCAGGTACACCTCTTGCAAATTGTCCTTATTTCCAAAAATTTGCAGTTTTACTTTCTAGCCTTATGGGGACAGAAAACAGGTGAACATGAGCATTCTAACCATTTGAAAGATCTGTTACCAGTTACCATAGCTGCTATAAACCATGCTCATTGATTAGTCCTGTGCTAAATGCTGTACAAACAGGGGGAATAATAATGTCTTGTTTCAAAGTAATTTTAATACTAGAGAACAAATAAGAGTGAAAGCTGAGAGCCACAGATGGGGTAACAATGATGTGTGTAGGGGTTTGGGGTTTCTTTGGGGTTTCTCTGTTGCCATACAGCTACGGTATGTTTAAAGCAGGGTGATAGGTAGTTTTATAAATTGTTTCTGTAAATACAAGGGCGAATAAAAGAAAAGTACTGGCTATAGAGGGTGGATTTAAACCTAATCATCATAATTTTTTTTATAAATGAAAGATGAGAAGTAGAGTTGGAATTGGCCATTACCTCCATGAATGTGCAGGAAAAGCACTTTTGATAGCAGGGAAAAGAGGAACTATCTAGTTCATGAGTACAATTTTTGAGTACTATTCTAAGTGGATGTGAGAGCAGTTAAATTCCAGACATCAGATATTATAGAAGTTTGAGTGAAGCAGCTGGAGCTAAAACTTAATCAGATTGAGTAGCCAACAGAAAAGTCTCTATATTAAATAACTAGAAAAAGCTATGAGATCTAGAAGTACAAATTGACACAGATCCCAGTCAGCTGACAAAAAGGTTTTCTGTCTACTGTATTTCCCCTTTTAGTGTTAAAAACTGCAGTAAATCAAAAAAATAGTGCATTAAAGCTGCTTTCTCATGAGTCTGTGTATAGAATCAGTAGTAAAGGCAGGAGTTCAAACTACTTACTGTACTTATGCTATTTGGTTATTTAATCAGTATTCACCTTAACTCATGCTCTTTTTTTCTTTCAGATTTTGTATTTTGTAGATACGTTGTTTTGTATATACTGTATATGATGACTTCGGTGGGCAGTGAACGTACCCGGGGCACTCGGGACAAAATGCAAATTTCAGCCACACAGCCAACACAACCACAGAAACAAGTAGTGCAGGTATGTGCTACTGTATCAACTTCTTTGATTTGAAAGTGGGAATGTAATGATACAAGTTTCTTCCCTGACTCCATAAAAGCTGAAGAAGATGGGGTGAAAATATATGGTTTATTTTGGAAGATTATGCTTGATTACTTGCTTTAATTGCTCAGTAAGGCAGGACAGTGTTAAGTTACTCCTGTGTTGTCTCTAAATGATTTCTGTGTTCTTCAGCAATGTCTCCTATCAGTGAAGAATTCGATGCCCATGTCAGGATTTCTGTTCTGTGACCTCACAGTCCTCAGATCTCAGCTCTTCTATCTGCCAACCTCCTGATCCTAGGAGATTTCTGGTCAAGAGGAAAATTTGAATGGGGGCGAGAAGCTTCATTTGATGCATGTTGTGTTCTACACAATGACTCAGTGTCTCTTCAAGTCACAAAGTCCTAAACTTCTTGTGCAGTGACCCCACCAAGTGAAATGGTCATCCCCTAGCATACTAAAATTTTCAGTACCGGTTAGATGAAATTTCACCCTACTACCACTGATTCTTGGCAGCGGTAGTTGTGTGCTTGTCTGGGTTACAAAGAGTGCAGAATGTTTCTGATTCTGGCAACTCAGTATTCTCTTGACAGATACATCTCAACTTAATCTGGATTCAAAAACTGTATCAGTTCTTTGCTGCCAGTGTGTGTATCAGTCTAGAGGTGCTCTACAGAGCAATGCTGCCTTCTATTGTTTTTTGGGCTAGTCTTTAATAAGGAGACTCTTTTGGTCTGTTTTGCAGTATTAATCATGTGACCTCAAACCCTTATCACCTCCTTGAGTTGCAGCACTTGGCATAGTGATGATTCATGCTAATGTGTGGATTTTGAAAATGACTTCCAACAAATTAGTTGAATTTGGTTTTATTTTAAAACAAGGATGCAGGAGTATAGTGAGCAGCCTGGGAAAAGTGGTGGCTTCCCCTTTTCCAACATTTTGCAAGACAGCACTGGGGTGGTTTGCCTGGTTGGGTTCCCTGGCACAAGGTAGACATAGGCAAATGGGAAGAAGTCCAGTGAAAAGCTGCAAAGATGGTTGTTAGACTGAAACAGAGGAGAAATGAGGGGTGGCTCAGGGATCTGGGTTTTTTCAGCCCAGTAATACAAGGCAAGTGTGTTCTGTTCAGGTACCTCATGAAAGGGTGTAGGAAAGGTAGAAACCAACTCTCCTCTGAGAGCAAGTGACACAAGGTAGAACACTGGTAATTCCTGCTTTTAAAAGGAAAAAAAATTACCATGAGTATGGTCATGGTGTATCCCTGGAGGACTTTTCCAAACTACGGGATTAATTGATTTTTAGGCCTTAAGACCTTGTTCTGCATTTTGTCCATTTATCCTGCCTTTTGCATAGTAGATACTGGTTCGATCATTTCAGTGAAAAAGGTGGTTATTTCATACATAGCAGTTATGTTTTAATGCTCCATATATTTTATTGTTGAAATAGCAGATGGACCTTTCTGCTTAGTCAGTCTTTGCAGATCAACAGAAGTCTCTGGATTTACCTGTTTAATCACCAGCAATTCATTTTTCTGAATACAGAATAGTGTTTTCCCAAATGGATGTTTCGTTGTCATAATATCACATTGATCATAATTTAAATTATTTAACAAACTGCATCATGTTTCTATTACATTGCTTCTGGATAATAAATGTGCCATTTTATTGTAAGATGTATGTCTATTACTGTCACTTCGTCTTGTGTTTTGCACACTTCTGTTTTACGGTAGTTTGAAGTTTTGAGTTTAAAATTTCTTCCACTCTTCTACTGAAAAGGTACTATGTCTTGTAAGGTTGAATAAAGTTCAGGCTGTTTTAAAATACTACTGCTTTCTTAGTCACAATTAAAACTTAATTATACTCTTGGTTAGGATGCTACACTATCCATTCTAACAATGGTGCCTTAAAAATAAAGAATCACTACTTGCTGGTGGAAAGGCCAGAATTTTTATGACACTGGTCTAATGTTTTTTTAGTCATCTTGTGGTTTTTGTTGTTGGTTTTTTCCTTCTGAATCTTCAGTTCCATCTTGGTATAATCCACTGGCATAAATATGAGTGGTATTGCACACCTACAAGTTTCTAAGCTCTCTGCTTACACAGGATAATTGAGGATGCTGTCGCACATTTGTAATTCCTTAAAAATTGGTATGTTTTTGTCTTCTAACGTGGGCTTGAAGAAAACATTTGTTTATGGAAAAGTAAGTCTTAGTGGATTCCTGATTTTTGGTAAAATATGCCATCATATCTCTACAGAAGTTATATGTGAATGTTTTTGCTCTGGATATCTTCAAAGAAAATGTCTTCACTTGTTTAAAAGTCACAGTGTGCCTGTGGAGGCTGTAATCAGAGTGAGAAATGGATCAACAAGACTTAAATTCCTGAAGCCAGCACACATTTTGGTTTTGCTGTCTGCTGAGCTCTCAGCAGTCACCAAGAGCAACCCAATTGCTTAGAGCACCACTCTGACAGGGTGGCTTCTGTGGAAGGTGGAACTGTGGAGTTCCAGAGCAGGCCCTCCCCCTTACCCAGTGGAGTGGCATAGGAGGCTGTCAGCATGACAGGCTGAAAAGGTGAAGTAACTCAGTGTGCAACTGTTACAAACGCTAATTCTCTTGGAGCACAGATGTCACTTCCCTTAACGAACTGGGACAGCTGCAGTAACTTTTCAGCAAATAAGCAGCTGGTGGTGTTCGTTGGAGTAATTTTTAGACTCTTCTCAGCATTTATGTTTGGTGACCTCCTCTAGAACTTGGATTTGTGGTAAACTCCAAAAGCCAAACAGTCTGACCCTGATTAGATATGATCTTGTGAGGCACAGAATTTCATGTGTGTATCCTGTGAAGTGGGATGGCAAAAGGTGAGATTCAGCCATCTACACAGGGTGAATCCTTTCCACCAAAAATTCTAGCAGATGAACTGATTCAACTCGAGGAGGAAGAATCTCTGCAGGCTCAGCAGCCACATAGTGGGTCTTAGCTCTCTTCAGTGTCAGCTTTCCCTATGTCCAACAGTAGCCTCTTCATTTTGAGCAGAAGTCAAATGAGGTCCAGGTGCATAGTGCACACTGTTCTTTGGTATTTTCTTGGGAGTGCAGTTCATAGGTTGCAGATGCTACACTATAAAGTGACGTGTGTGATGTGACATCTGTATTAGAATTGTTTTTCTCTCAGGGGCAGCCATAGTGTGTTTGGATTTTTCATACTTGACTGCATCTCTTTCAGTCTCTCAGCTTTTGTGTAAGTTGCCAGTGTGCATTTTTGTCCAGGAATGTTGCAGAAACACCAGGTACTTCATCAGTAGCAAGTTGCTTTACCGGTTTTCAGAGACCCATATTTGCTTATAAAAAAAAACAGTGCAGCTGTTCATGGGCAAAGTCTTGAGACATGACCCAAGTCTTTTTAAGTGCTCAATAAAACTACATGGTCAGATTGTTGTTGGGAGTGCTGTGGAAGGGGATGGGAGCAGAGATCATCATAGATGTGGTTAATTTAGAGATACTATTGCCAGTAATTACAATAAAACTCAACACTGGAGTAGTAGATCCTAAATAAAAGTGAAAGCATTAATGCTAAAATGTAGTCTTCCCTGGTGGTTCTGTGTTATTATATGGTGGTCTTGTCAGTACAGTGACCTTTAATTGTGTTTCAAATATATTAGAATGTGTTGAAATTTCTTCTGTCCCAAATAACATTAAAAACTATAAATGGGAATGGACAAGATATTGATCCCTCCCCCACAGCATCTCTGTGCTTGTTGTGTATGTTCTTTTGAGAACCCGTAGGAAAAAACTGGGAACACTGGGATATACTTCTAAAAAATATAGTAACCTTTGTGTTCTTTATTGGATATTATCTTTTTTCAGGCAACAGCAGAACAGATTCGCCTTGCTCAGATGATCTATGATAAGAATGACGCAGATTTTGAAGATAAAGTGAAACAAGTATGTTTCTTATGGTACAAATTTTTTTGTCTCACAATAAAATGTTATACAGCTGGCTTACATTTTGGAGGCAGAGCATCTGTTTCTGGGTTAGATGAAACTTTTTTCACAAGGACATAGGTTTAACTAGGAAAAGGTGCTCTTATTGCACTGTGAAATCTTTTTACAAGAAATTTTGTGGTAATACAGCTCTGACGGCGTAGTTTTCAGTGTATTTTCCTTTGTAGACAAACCCTTAAGCCAAAACTTGTTTGTGCTGATGTCTCTTCCTCAGTGTATCTCTCTAGTATGGTCCTGATGATTAATGATTGTCAGAGTAAAGAATGCGTTCAGTTTATCCACAAGTACATGCACGTGAGAAAAACGTCACCTGTGTAAGTTGAGTTTGCTAATATCTTGGAAGTTTTTCAGGGAAAGTAAAAGTCTAATGATAGCTTAAAGAAAAATCAAGCTGTTATTTTAAAAAATAAATAATCTTACCTCACAAATCTGTGTATGCATTAAAATGATAGAATTACAGTGTATAAATGAAATCTCTCACTTCCTCTACCGTGGTGAGTGTTGGGTGTTAGATAATCAAGCTTTCATTACCGAGTTATAAGTGAGACCATTAATTAAGCAGTCCTGACAATATGGGTGTCTCTTCTGTTTGTGGCTGTTAGTGATTTTGTCCCAGTGAATACATCACAGCTCATGAAGAACCTAGGAGTACACCCAGGAGGGAAGAATTAGCTTGAATGCATAAATGCAGCAAAGGAGCAGATTTCTTGGTTTCTTTTCGTCTCTGAAACTTCCTCTGAAGCATTGTTAAATGCTTTTTGTTGTTCTTGTTACAAACTAGTGCTGTTTCTGTGCCAAAAATGAAATCTTGTACTTTGTGAAGCCAAAGGAGCCTCATCAATAGTGCTTGTAGCTGTGCTGGTGGGAAGGAGATGTATTAAGTTCTGCATAGAATATGTTTTGCCTTCTGCATATGTATTTCTAGCTCATGTAGGTTTTGTTCGTTAGACGAATTTGCTGAATGCCCCGTGACAGATTATTTCTGTCCCACACTCTTCAGGATATACACCATGAGTTCAAGGAGCATAATTCAGAACTAGATCTCCTTGATCAGCTTCATGACTCTGGTGTGGCTTAATGCTGAAATGGATCAAGTGAGGTAGTCTGTCTGAAAGATAATGTATTTCTTAGTCTGCATGGTTTTCCAGGTGGATCTGTTCTCTGCCATGTCTTGCTATATGTCTTTTCTCACAGTGGGATAAAGAGGGGTGGTTTTGATGGAGAAAGAGATGGTACTGAAACTGTTGTGGTCCTTTACACTCACGTACCGGTGTATCTGGCAGCATTTGCTGCAAGCATACAGAACAAAAAAAGTGTGAAAGAGTACTTCCTTGATTACCAATTAATTTGTGTTTCTTCCTGTGTCGTCTGAATCCCAAGCAGATCTATAAAGTGCAGGTTATTTTATTCAGGATATTAGTTTACTCTTACATGGTAGCTATGCACTTCATTGTAATTTGTGGTCATACTAGCTCTTACTTTCTTATGATGGTAATTTAGATATTTTAACATGTCTGACTTTTACTGACAGCTTATGGAAGTGACGGGGAAGAACCAGGATGAATGCATAGTGGCACTACATGATTGTAATGGGGATGTGAACAGAGCAATCAACATTCTGCTGGAAGGAAGTTCAGACACGGTACGGTTTTGCTTCCGTATTAAACTACTCCTTCTGTTTGCTGTGATTTTCAGCTTCTAGAAGGATATTGAGAAAGTCATATTTCAGAAGTTTTCAATTTCCATGTCTCTATTAAATTTCTTTTGGAGGAAATAGTAACTGGGGCAGCTTCTCTACTGCATGCATACCTTGGAGAAGGCTGAATCTGGAAAATGTTGTGGGTGTTCAGCTGGTGTGTTGCAGAGTTCCTATGCTTTCATTTATATACAGCAGTTTTAACTCTTCCGCAGAACTCAGTGCTCCCTCAGACACAGGCGTGTTTTTTGCTGCAGGTTTTGTAGTTTCTGAGGCCTGAGACCATCACAAAGGTCAATCTTTGTAAACCCAAGGGCAAGCAGGTATTTTTAAGTTATGCACATTCTGTATGTGTGGGTTGCCAGTATTGAAGTTGGAGGATTTATATCCACATCTGCAAGTTGCATTGATAATGCTGCTTATGTTAGGAAAGAATGCAACAAGTAGTTGCTTCTTTAACTGTGTTGCTCATTTGCATGACTTAATTGAAAAACAGGAAGAAGAGACTAAACAGTGTGTATACAACAACAAATCATGTCACTTAAAAAGTTGCACAGTGAAATTTTTTATCCCAAGAGATACTAAGAAAATATGTTTTACTGCAGTTGGAGTTTTTGCTTACTTCAGGAGAGATTTCTTACAGCCTGTCTTCAAATTAGATTCTATGTCATCCAAGTTGAAAAAGTAACCTGGACTTCCTTTCTTGATGCTGAACACTCAGTATTTCCTGTGATTTGTCAGGATGTGTACTCTGGCTTATTGTAAATGAGGAAATTCACCCCTCACACACCCTTAATCTGGGACATACACTGTTTTGACTGAGGGGGCTTTTTTTCTATCCCCTTTTAATTTTTTACCAGAGTTGAGGTCTTCTAAACACAGAAGTATATTATATTGACAGGCTGGGAGTAGAGGAGAGCATTTCACTTAAATCTGTCTGGGTAATGTGCTGTTTTCTCTCATACTTCTCATATTTGCCATTTTTTAGTTGAAAGTAGTTTTCTGGTTGATAGAGGATATTAAATCCTTCCTTACTTTAACAATTTGTTGTAATTGATCATGGATAAAGCTTTCTGAAATCATTCATCAGCTGCAAGTAAAAATTCATAAATGAAACTCACAGTATTATAAAGCATGGCATAGAAAAAGAGAGAGCTCATTTTTCTTTACTTTTGTGTTAATCCTTCTCTCCTCTGAAGATGATAAACTAAAATTGAAATGGAATATACTGTGGGGTGATTGTTGATACTAATATGTTCTGCACTTTTGACAAGTCCTTCTTAACCCACTGCTCTCTATAGACAAAATGCAACTTAGAAACAAATAGAGAGAACTTGAAGGAGTCGAGGAGGAAGGAGTATTAATTGATGGGTGTGAAGAAATTTATTTTTGAAAGTTTGTGGGCCTCCAGTTGGAAGGATTTGTTTTAAGGCCATTATACTTGAGAACAGTTTAACCATGGATTTGATGTGAAGTTTTGAGCTGAGGTACTACAAATTCTGAATGCAGATTTCCAAATCTCTTTTTCTAGTCTCACTCTGCTGTGATGCACTTGCAGTTTTTTTAAACTTCATTTGAAAGATGTGTTTGAAAGAAATTACTGAAGGAATTTGAGGAGCAAGGAGTGATAGTTAAGATGTGTATTTATAGTTTATTTTATACTCAGCCAATTTTGTGTTAGTCTTTTTTTTGCTTGCCTTTGGGGTTTAAAGCTTGATCTACAAGCTGTAAGTGTGTGACTTCGTCTCTGTAAAGACTCTTTTTGCAGCAGTTGTGGCAGTCTGGCTTGGGTTAGTTAGAGGCTTGTGTTTGAGTAGAGAAGGACATGTTTCTTTGCCTAAGACTTGTACTCATTTAACTTCTTAAATCTATTTTATGCTCAGCTGTGTTTTACTTACTAAAGCTTTGAAGACAGAACAAAACAGACCTTTCAGATTTTTATTCTTTCCATGTAAGAACAGGACAACAAGAATTATTCTGTTACAGATTTTCTCAAAGGTCAGACCCACTGCTATAATTTGGGTTGCCTCAGGCATTGTCAGCTGAAATCGTAATTAGCTACCTCCCTCACAAAGAGAGACAGCTCAACGGTTTGTGATGGATCCCCATGCTCAGAGGTAGCACCATCCTCTATCTTAAAGAACATGCCTGATTTTCTCAAGGCTTTCCTCAAAATTGTATTGTGGGAAAACATGGATCTGATGCTTTCATAGTCATCTTTTTACTGATCCTTCCTCAGTTATTTAACTCTCACTCACGAGAGGCTGCTTTTTCTTCAGCTTTGCAGCTTATCCAGTTTTGGGTGTTTCCTGAAATGGTCAAAGATGTTTTGGCACCAAGCCCATCAGTCAGTTAGTGCATTCTGAACTCTACAGACTTGGTTGTTCAATTGTCAATGCAGGTATCTTTCCTCCTGTGTGTGAGCCACTAGGAATGTTTCAGTGCAGTTACACCAGCTGTGGTGGGTGATGCCATGTGGTACTTACTGTGGGAAGCAGCTTTCTGCCTCACAGATAAGGTGGTGGTGTTCAAATGTGTTTAGTTTTGTACCTCTGATCAGCTCTGGCTGGGCTTCATCCAAGTTGGTTTAGTCTTCTGTACTGGAGGTGGAACTGCAAAGTGATTTCACCTTTCTTTCTCACCAGTGCCATGCCAAAAAATGAAAGAGTAGCCATTCTTTTTGTTCTTATTCTTTCAAAGGAGACCCTGTAACACTGAGTTTGTAAACTGCTTTGTTACCTGCTTTCTTCCTTGCACTGGCTTCCTAGGCAGCTTGAACTAGCTGGCCATGGCCTGGCGCCTCAGGGCTGCAGAGTTGCTGTTGGTGGAATTGAGAGATAAGACAGGACTTGAAATTACTCATAGACTTTTTTGTTTGATGTAGGTGGCTGTCAGATGTCATACTTCAGTACTTCACAACAATTTGTATGTGCAAATATTCTGATATTAAATGTCTTACTTGAGCTGTAAACTCCTAGAAATGGGGACATAAGTGTAAACCTCTCTGCCATGTTAATGATTTGCAAATAATACCTTTTCTTCTTCTTACTTGCTTTGCAGCTATGGCTTAATAGACTAACCATGCAATTGCATAATATATGAGTTGCTGAGCTATTCTTGGCAAGTGTTTTAGTAATTTTATTTTCAACTCCTACAGATACTCCTGTGGAGCTGATAACATCCTTGAATTTATTTTAAAGACCGAGTTTAAGATTCAAACAGAAGCCTGATGTTTGGACCTTGATCCCGTGTCTTGTTTAGACATAGATTTTCCTGTGTTTTGCTATGTTTGATGGTCTGTAGCTGTTAAGAGTGGATGGTCTGACTTATCAGTTCTCCCAGGTTGTTGTTTTGCCATTCTGTCTTCTGAGGCTTAAATTCTAGTGTGCCTGGATGAAAAGTTTTTCTTTTCTGTTTGGGGTTCCCCCCCCCAATTAGGCCACATACTTATTCTCATCAGTCTTTTTTTCAATGATACTTACAAGGGGTTTTTGTTTTGTTTTTTCCGTTTCCCTGGGAGAAAAAGATAGCTTTGTTCATGTTCCCATGCTAGATTGATGGATGTATTTGAGACAAAAACTGTTGCTTGCTTGGCAGATGTTCTGTGTTACAATAGTATCCAGTCTTCCTTGAACTAGTAGAAATCCATTATAGCCAGAAATATTTGGGGTTCTCATATTCCCTAAGACAATCAAACTTAAAAAATATTTCTCTCTCATCTCTTTGCAAAAACACATAGCCTGTCTTTCCTTTTATATCAGTGTAGTTTGCATATGTGACATTATGCAAATACCTGGGTTTTTCTCATGAACTGGAGGGGTGTGGGGTAGGAAGTGTGCATTGAGAGGTGTCTCTTCCTTTTTGACTTTTGTGTCTATTTCTATTCTACCCAAATAGACTTCTTGGGAGACTGTAGGGGGAAAGAAGAAAAGCCTTGGAAAGGAAGGTTCAGAAAACAAAGAGAACAGAGAGAAACGAGGGGACAGAGAAGTGAGTCGCGGACGGGGAAGTTCCACCAGACGGGGAAGAGGAGGCAGCCGTGGACGAGAGTGTACGTATAGGGATTAATTTTTAAAGATTGAGACGCTTTTCTTGCAGCTGGAACTGACTGAGCTAAGAGTGAGTGCTTAATGGAGCAAAGTCCGTCCGACTATAGCTCAGCGTTGAAGGGATCGTAACTTGTTTGTGCCACAGGTATGCTTGATCTGTCTATGTGACTTGGTTTGGGATGGTCTGTACTTGTTCAGAGACACTCAGTTTAATATAAGTCTCTGTTCTTGTTTAATGAATTGATCTTGTACAAATTGCTGTTCTTCATGTAAGTTTTAGAATTGAGTCTTTGTAAGTCTGCTTGAGAACAAGTATGTCGCTGCACAGCTGATACACTTTTTTGTTTCTTTTAATGAAAAAATTATCCAGCTTTGACTCCATCTCCTTTTATGAGTGGGAGAACCTGAAGATGTTCTCATCTTCTCATAAGGGGAATGAAAACACTGGGATGATTATTAATCTCTAAATATATTTCTCACATAAATCAACCAAAGGTGAGTTTCTGCGACAGAGAAAATTCATTGTTAGTTGAAACATTGAAAGCTTTGCTACAGTTGCAATAATAGATTGTACAAAAGCAAAACCGATGTTTCCAATTTAGATAGAGTCACAATAGATCATGATCGGATACATGTTTCTTTTTTTAGCTAAGTTTTGTCAGCATTCTTAAAGCTGTGGGTATTGTTGGTATTGGCTGTTTGCCACACTGATAGATGAGAAAAGAAATCAGAATGGATACAATATGTTTAGCTTTGCACTTATAAGCAGGAAAAAACATTTACAATGTTAGCCAACTGATGTTATTCATAATTGGAAGATATTCAACTATTGTGCCAATATAGATGTTGTGAATTTTTTTAGGATAGAGTAAAGTCAGTATGAAAAAATTTTAATAAAACATGGAGCTGGACTTAGAAAAGTATAAATTAGATCAATCAAAATGAAAGCAAAGGGCAAATTTTTTTACCAAAGACAATTGCTGCCCTTGTCATTTTGTAAACTGGGATTAAAGAAATTTCAGATGGTTATCAAATCTTGGTATTTTCTTCTCAAATTTATGTCCAAGCATTTTTGGTTTTATTGTTACCATTAGGAGAAAAGCAGTACAAAGTCTCAGCAGTGAGTGTTTCAAGAGGCCAGTTTTGTTGGTTTTTTTTTCTCCTTCAAGTAGCCAGCCATATTTCAAAGCACCTTGTCAGGAGTTTCCCACAAAACACTTAGGTTGCAGACCTTTTTTAGTGCCTTACCTTCACCCAGTCATCATCCCTGTACTTTAAATAAGAGGAGAAATCTGTTTCAATGCAGTATGGGCAGAAAGGAGAAGAGTTGGTATTACTGGTTATCCTTTATTTTTTCACTGTTGTCAACCAGTGCATTATCTAGGAAACACAGAATGAGGCAGCTGTATTTCCTGTCTCATTAAATAGTGTAGGCTGCAAAACATGGCACTTGTAGAGGTTTGTCTCCTGAGGGACCTTTCCTTCTTGTATTTTGCTTCCTAATAGTACAAAGGAAACATAACTTGCTTCTAGCAAGGCGTCAAAGAAGAGGGGTGACTGAGATTTGTTGACCATCCCACTTGAAAATTTTGCCTTTTGTTTTGAGGGGTTCATGTTAAGCAAATGGCTGTACTGTCTCAAGTAGCAGTCTCTAACGCTTCTCTTAAGCTGTCCTCTCTCCACAGTTAGAGCTGAAGAGAATGGAGTGGACAGCAATCAAGGAGACAGGCCTTCAGACCGTGGGAAACGTGGCCGTGGGAGAGGTGAGATGGTGGCATTGTTGTGGGACTGGCACTGCTTTCATGTCCTGAAATGGAACTCTCCCATTTGTTTCTTTAAATGCTTCTTCTTAAGCATTTTTTGTTTGTCCTTTGATTCCATACGCACTTCAGCCACCTTGTCCTTGGGTATATCCTACTCCCTTACCCTTTATCATTTCTTGGTCTTGGAACAAATTAAACAAAATTGACAGAGATCACCTCTATGATAATTTCCTGTGTGGCAGGCTGTTGTGCACTGGCTATGGAGAGTTGTTTTCCCAGACTGACTCATGCCAGCCTCCTGTGAGTGGGAGTGTGCTCACTCAGGGTTCCTCAAGATGTACTTCAGCAGCAGGAGAGCACAAGTTTCCATCTGTATGGCTCTTGGGGAAGGATTTGATGTATACTTGTACCATTTCTTTGGAGTGGCTCTGGTTGTCAGGCTTGCCTTCTGCTTTTGGTAGCCAATCAGAGAAAGAACAAGCCACCTTAGAGACGTTTTGCTATGAAAAGGAATTCGACATGGAAGAGTTGATGAGAACTGTGGAGAAGGAATGCTATGGAGTTTTAGGTACAGCTCCAATCGTGTTATGTGGAAGAGGTGGGATAATGGATTGGATGTGGAATCAGGTGATGTGTATTTGAACTGGATTTTCGCTGGTTGGGGTTGATAGAGGCTTGATTTTCCTTAAGGTTGGAGGAATGAAAATCCATGTATGGTGCTGATTATGGGTGGACGAGTGTATTAAATAAGTTAAATTGACAAAATGTATAGTGTAGCAGAACTAACGTACTTAGTAAGTCTGACTCAAGAAAAATTCTGCCTTCAAAGGACTCCTTTCTCTTTGGAATGTTGGGTAACAAGGCATTCAGAGACAGGTGCATCCAACTTCATTGTCTCCAGATCTGCATCTTGAAGGTGCGCAGAGATGCAAAGAAGTAACTTCCAAAGGTTTGCATGTGAGAGTGCCTGTGAATCAGCAAAAACCCAATCGTGTGTGCAGAGAAGTAGCCCTGCAGGGCAAGGTATGATATAGTTCACAGCTACAATTTTTGGTATGTTAACAGTTTACACTTTCAGTAGATAGAATGTAAGTCTTGCAGTTACTTATTTTATAAAATAATCTTTTTTTTTTTCAAATTATAAGTATAAAAGTAGGACTTTGTAAAAATGTTTCAGTAAAACTTAGAGATTAATTTCAAATGCAGTGTTTTTTTGCTTTAACCTTACAAACCATACACTGCTTTTGTTGTCAAAGCTGTAACTTTCCAGATAAGTATCGTATATCTCAACCTTCATAATCAGATCAAACTGACCTGTTTAATGAAGAAATAGAAACTTCAAAGAGTTTTGTTCACTGGCTTCATGTACATAGTATTACTATATGTCTCTACCAAATATCTGAGACTATACTATGAGCAAAGTATATTCATGAAGTGTCTGTGGTAAACCTGTTGGCGAGCTACAGGATCATTATATTACAAGTGTGTGTATTCCATGGCAGGAAATACCTAATTAATTTTACAATGCAAACTCTTGAAATCTTCAGGGAGTTTTAGAAATCTCTATAATTCAGTTCTTATCATTTCAGGGATACATGGTCTCTTTCTCTGGATGTTAGTAGAAATAATAATAAAAAGCTTCCTGCCAATTCATTCTGTAGTCTTGGCTTTTCTGTTACACAGATTAGTCAAATGAGAGGTAACATACTTCAGCTAAAAGTAAACAGATTGCTGGCAATCACCACTAAACCCATTTTTAGAAATGTTTCATGTAGTGTGTGTGTAGAAATCTAGGCACTGGATAGGAAATGAGAGGTCAGCTAATTATCTGAGCAGCACACTCTCTCTGTTCTAAGCTACCTTCTCAGGCAGGAGTTATCTTACTGGTTGCCTTCTAGGAGATTTGCTGAGCCATCATATGTATTACCATTTCACGGTACAAAAATGTAATTTAAAGAAATGATACGCAGCTGAAAACAGCTAAAACAGGATTGACACAGAGGCGATAGTGTGCTGTTTACTGAGAGGGAAAAACCCTTATACTGAATATTTGATATTTGGTGTGTAAGGCACTAGTTTTATCTGGCAATAGATCTTCCATTAATGACGGTGTCATGTTCCTTGTAAGTTCATAGGGTAGTATGTAAACAAAGTGCAAACACTGTTGTATGCTGGTATGCAGGGCTTCGGGGATTTGAAGCACATACAAATTATTGACTGATCAACAGAATGCAAAAATATATCACAGTGTGTGTAACGTGTCAGCTGTAATTGCTCTAAGGTAACTCTTTGCTTGTTAAACTAACTTGTAAACTTTGTATTGAAGTCAGGGAGTATCTTGTTTTAAGATGCCTTCTTATCTGTGCTTCTTCTCAGAACCAAATTTCTTGTGTGAGCTTAATTTAAATGTAAGAAATACTGTAATGGTGATGAGCAGTAATTGCATCAAAGTGATTATATTTGTCAATATAGCAAGGATTTGCGACTGTCTAGAATAGAATAGAATCTCCTGAGGAAATTAAAGAGGCACATGGTTATGGTTTTAGGATTATCAGCTATAGAAACATTTTCTTATTTGTGTTTTAATCAGCTGCAGTGTTGTATACAACTTGACAAACTTTACCAGCACAGGTTGCTTTTAAGCTGTTGTTTTTTTAAGGTTCTTGTGTCTTCAATTTTAAGTGCAATTCTAATTCTCCCAGTTCCTCCACCTCATATTGAAAAGGATGCAGAGAAAAAAAAAGGGTGTAGAGCTAGAAAAGGCTTTTGAAGGTACTGGGAAGTCTACAGTTCTAGGGTGTGATGAACAAGTAGTATAGGATTTTCTGCCTGTGAGAGAGGACTGAGTGGGTGTATGGTAGAGCTCTGATAAACTTCTGTGGGGGCATCAATTGATCATGCCAAGCAAGTATGCAAAGGAGAGAATATTAAATGAGATCAGCAGGTTACAGCTTCAAGATGAACTTAAAGAGCTGGTTCTTCATACATGAAGTGAACCGCAGGAACTCCTTTCAGTAAGATGATGTGGTGCAGGAAATGTATACATAAAAAGACTTGGAAATTTCATCCTAAAAAAGAACCACAGGCAAGAAAAAGAAAAACCACCAAAGATTTTGTTGTATCTAAGTTATCTTTGACTAAGGAAGTCAAAGCCACAAATAGTTGAAGACCAGGAAAGCATCCAAAGAAACTACACTGTGATTTCAGTTCATGTACCCTTCCCTGGATATCTAATTGACTTTGGCTTATAAAGAAATAACAGGTAGGTGGGCTTTTGAGCTTTTTTTTCAATTCAGCATAGAAATTGTTATAGACTTGTGTATAGTAATTCTCCTGGTTTGCAAAGGCAAGGTAGGTTTGTTGATTGCCCTTCTGTTTATCTCTTTACTTCGTTATTCCAGAACAACATGAGCATGCCATAAATGTGCGTTCTGCCAGGGATTTTTTTCCTACAAAATGGATGTAAAAATGAAGGAAAAAATGCTATGTTTTAATTTCAACTCTTGTTTTGTCTGCTGGCTGTATAGGAAAATAAAACAGCTTATCCTTTTGTAGATATCTGATTATAGTCCAGTTTGTATTCTTGATCTCTTTTCATTGTTTTTAACATAAGAAGTGTGCTATCCTTGAACAAATTGATTTCTATATCTAGAATTGCATGTATAAACATTCTTTTGGTTTAAAAGCTTAGTCCAGTTGGCACAGGATGTGTCTTGGATTTTTTTTGCCAGAACTAAGGAGAATGTTATTTTTTTCCAAAACATGAATGTGGAGCAGACCTTCTGGAAGTCAAAATTTGAAGTTTGTTTAGTTTTGCTGTGGCTCATTCTGCATTAGTTAAGAAACTCTGTCATGTACATTTTTTTTAGGTTATCATAGTTGTAACAAGTCACCTGTTTTCCTTTGAATGTAATTTTAGAGTTGAAAGTTTTCAGCATGAATTGTAAAAATGCTTTCTAGAGTAAATGCAGTATATAAAACTGATTAATTGATTCTAGCTTTAAGATTACTAATAAAGACAAAAGTAATTTGAATTATTAAATCCAACTTGGGTGTTTGTTTTGGTAATATGGAGTACCTAGAATACAAAGTTTCTGCACTTCGCCTCCTTACCTCTTAAGCCTTGATAAGCCTCTGTCAACTTGGTTCTGCTGGGAGGATGCCACTGCCAGAGCAGAGACCAGGGCAGTTCAGTTACTGTGTAGTCAAAGATAAATAAAACTTTAGAGTGTTGCTTACTCTTCCAGTCTGCATTTCCTTCTTCTTGCAGCTGTTCTTCAGGCCATTTCTTAACCTTGAAGTAACTTCCTCTGATTTAAACCCTGAAAATCTGAGTTTTGAAATAAAGCACCTGTGTTGCAGTGGAAGGATTTAGGTCTACAAGCTCAGCAGACTTGATTTTCTGCAGAATAAGTTATTAATTTAGTGGGCTAGTCCCATCTGAGTTGTGCTTCTACATACCTTTCTCATGCTGCCATGAGATGTGCATTTGAGGAAATGTTGTGGGGAGCAATTCTTGCCATGCGTGGATGGTACCAGAGTGGAGAAGTGATTGTGATGAGTGTTTTGAAGTCCTAGTGGGTTTTAGTGAAAACAGAAAAACTTGCCTCCTGCCTCAGTTGGATGTAAGTATTGACCTTTCTAGAATTCATTCAGGAGAAGAAAAATGCAAAGAGTAAGGCAGCAAGTGACAGTAGTAGGAGGTTCCTCTGAGAGGTACAGAGGTGACATGTTGTGCTTTCTAGAGAGGTGCACTGCTTACCAGGTTCTCTTATCTCAGCCTGGTAGCCGAGACTGCCAGGCTTCTTGCAGTCCACCGACTGTTACTTCCTACTGTTGTTTCATGTAGGCACAAGTGGAACAGCCAGGAGCAGTCTGAACAGCATCAAGGGGGATTACAGAGCCCTGGGTCTGGCCAAAAGGTGCTCTGGAGCAGCTAGTTTTTGCAGGTAGTTTTTCATCCATCCTCCCAGTCAAAGATAAAGGGGGTCAAATGAGCCCCTTGTATTTGGAGAATCAGCAGGTGGCCTTGTGCCACAGCAGGAGATTTCATTTCTTAGACCAGGGCACTCTCTTTGGAAACTTGGTCTTCTCGGGACTGATGTGTTCCATCTGTCAGGGAAGGGGACAAGCCATCTTTGGTCATCCTGGCTTCATGAAGGGCAAGTTGTGTCTGAGCTGGTGTCCTTCTGTGATGGAGTAATTGTAACAGTCAACAAGGAAGGGCTGGCATTATTTATCTGGCCTTTGACATGGTCACACATGATATCCTTATCTGTACATTGGAGAGAGAGGGATTTGAAAGGTGAACTTTTTGGTGGATAAAGAATGGGCTTCATCCAGTTAGTTGGATGCATCCACTTAGTTGTGGTCAATAGTTCTATGTACAGATGGAGGCTGGTGACAGGTCGTGTCCCTCAGGGCTCTGTCTTGGAGCTGGTGCTCTTTAATTAATATCTTTATCACTGACACAGTGAGGTTGAGTGCATCCTCAGCAAATTTGCAGATGATACTGAGAAGTGCAGTTGACACAGCTGAAGGATGGGATGTCATCCGAAGGCACCTGGACAAGCTTGAGGAGTTGGGCCCATAGGAATCTCATGAGGTTTAACAAGATGAAGTTCAAGGTGCTGCACTTGGGTCAGAGCAATCCCAGGCATAAATACAGACTGGGAGCAGCCCTGCAGAGAAGAACTTTGGACTTCTTACAGATGAAAACCTGTCAGGAGCTGTCAATGTGTGTTTGAAGCCTAGGGAGCGAACTGGCTTGTGGGGCTGGCGAGGAATGTGAAGTCAAGGGCAGCCTGGGCTGCAGTGACTGTGAAATGGTGGAGGTTGAGATCTTTGGTGCAGTGATGAGGACACACAACAAGCTCACTGCTGTAGCGTTCAGGAGAGCAGACTTTGTCCTCTTCAAGGGTCTGCTTGGTAGAGTGCCATGGAATAGAACCCCAGAGGGAAGTGAGGCCTAGGAAAGCATGTTAATATTTAAGGATTCCTTCTTCCAAGTTTTGGAGCAGTGCATCCCAGCCAAAAGAAAGACAAAACTACCCCAACTGCAGGGATGAAAAGGAGCTCCTGGACAAACTCAAATACAGAAGCAAAGCCCAGAGAAGGAGGAAACAAATAAATGTAGCCTGGGAGGAAGAGAGAGGTGAGATTGAGCAGCCAGTGATAAAAGAAAGACAAGGGAAAATGTGGACCCTCTCTGTAAGAAAACAGGAGACCTGGCTAACTGGGACATGGAGAAGCTGCAGGTACTTAATTACTTTTTTTGCCTTGGTCTTCTCCCACAAGATCTCTAGCCATGTGAATTACAGAAGGTAAAGGCAGGGGCTGGGAGAATGAATAACCATCCACTGTAGGAGAGGATCAGGTCTGAGACTTTTTGAGGAATCTGAAAGTGCACATGTCTGTGGCACCTGACAAGATACATCTGTGGCTCCGTAGGGAACTGGAAGAGGAAGTGGCTAAGCCACCATCCATCCTATTTGAGTTCCCACTGATGAAAAAAAGGGAAGCATAACCTCTATTTTAAAAAGGGAAGGAAGGCAGACCTGGGCAACTAGAGGTCAGGGAGTCTCACATCTGTGCCTGGCAAGATCCTGGAGCAGATCCTCCTGGAAGTTAAGGGTCTTGGAAAGTGTGAGGTGATAGGTGACATGGAAACTAAACCTCACAAAAGAAAAGAGGCAGGCAACATGGTTGCTGTAGACAGCAGGGGTTTTTGGTGTCTTGGTGTGAAGGTTTTCTGGCATTTATCAAGGTGGGAACTGGTTTGAAGAGCTGATGCAAAAGTGAACATATACCATTTTCTTGTAGTTGTTTCCTGCTCACTCACTGGAAAGTGCAAAACCCAGTGTGCAAAAGAGCAGAGCTTATGATCACTGGTGAGGAAGACCACAGTCGTAGTAGTTCTAATTTAAATGGCTTTAAATTACTGTGGGATTGCATGCTTAGTATTTGGGTTCCCACTGTGAATTCTGAAAACTTCATTTGCTCACTGGCTCTTTAGTTGCTGTTAAAAAGCATAAAGTTTGTAGACACCCTGTGGGCATTCACAGTTGTTTCTTTGTCTTAAAAGACTGTACCTTCTGTTTTAAGGCCATTTTTAATTTTTGACAGCTGAGAGAAGTAGCTTTCTTGGCATGAGAATGTAAGGATTTATTAGTGTCTGGTTGTGTCAAAGAGGATATTAGCCCTTTCCACTGGCATCTTGCACTAGTGACTATGATGTATGAGATCCTGTGTCTGAGTTAGGTGGTTTTACAGTGGTGAACATTCACTGTCCCAGATTTTGAGTTAATTTTTCATGTGTTTTCTATCTTTGAATTTAGTAATTTGGTACTCCCTTCTGCCTTCATTAGAAAGGTTCTTTTGCATTTGCTGGTAGAACTTAATTCCAGTTTTGACTGAAAGCGTAGACACAGCATTAAGAAGTTAAAGGAATCCACTTGAAATTCAAGTTCAGAATTGTCTTTCAAAATGATCTGGTATAAAAAATGCCTTGCTGGCTAGTAGTCTAAGACTGTGCATGGAACTTCAGGAACAGCATTTTTTCTTTTTTGCAATTTCTAAAACTGTTGCTTATTGATGTTTTTAGTCAATAGTTTATTGTGCCCATTGTGGGAATGTATCTTACGTATGCCTGGCTTGCTAAAACATCACCTTCTCTTTAGTGTGCTAAGGTTGTTTCTTCAGGCCATTGCACTTGAGATACTGGGGTGACTTACCTCCTCTTGTAAAATCTATTTTCTTCTTTCACCACAGCTATTTCAATTATCTCTCTGTACCTTATGTCTGTCTCACTCAAAACTGTTTCTGGTTGACTGTTTCTGTGTTTTGCAGCTCCCAGTTGGACTTGCACTTCAGACTGTCAGAAAACTGTTGATCTTGCTTCTGCACAATTTCTGTAAATGCTGTTTAATGCTCTATTGGTAGCAATTGAAAGTAATTTTATTACATGATGGCCCCTACCATATCCCCAGGTAAACTTGTGTAGCTGGTTCTGCTCTTAAGAAAACTTACTGGACAGAAAGGTAATCCAGAGTGCTCTGATTTTGGCAGAGGATAGCAGAAGAGTAGATAGGCTGAGCAGCAAGGTTCAGCGGCCAGGTTGGAGGCAGTTTGGTACAGTGGGGATTGGGGCACGTTGTTTATGCCAAAAACACATGGGTAAAGAAGGGTGGCAAATGCCAGGTTGCAGCAGTTGTTGCTTCTTTCATAACCTCTGTCTGCCTTCTCTCCAGCTGGTTGTGAAAAGAGAGCAAAGAAGGGAAGGTAATGTAGAGATAACAAAGCTGGTCAGTATCAGACTATTCACTGTTCTTATCCCAACAAAATGCTGTGTGTTGCTGGATGGGAATCTTTCCTCTACTTTGATGCTTCTAAGAAATCTTGGAAAAGTAGGTCCAGAAATGTATTTTGTCACTTCAACAGTGAACTGGGGTAAGGGGAGTAATGAGTGGCAAGAGCAAGAAACAGAAAGTCATTAAAGTAGAACTTGAATAAATTGGTGTTAACATGTCCTGGAGGTACTGCTCTTGCTCAGTTTGGGTGGTCTCCCAATTAAAGTAAGAAGTAATTCTGATCCAACTTTGAGCATGGCATCATGGGTAGTTCTGATCTATGGTCATCAGTGTTTTGGTGATTTAGGATTGTAATTTTTGTGTGCTTTGGTAAACTTGCAGTTGCTCGGTGACTTATAATTGCCACATAATTTTGTCATTAAAATAAACATTGTTTTTGTTCTCTGAGTGCAGCTCTTCACCTTCTTCTGTTCTTGTAATACAAAATAATATTCTTACTCTTCCTCAAAAAAACCTGAACAAACTGAGTAAGCCTTACATAAAACCCCTAAAAAGGTGGGGAAAGAACTCTATGCACAAATATATTACATATAAGAAATATTTGGTAACACTTTCTCTAGACATGTGCTTTGTGTATTCTTGTATTCTAGTACACAAATTTTCATGCCTTGTTGACAATATAGCATGTGCAAAAATTAAGCTGTTAATTGTATCAAGAAGCTCATAAACTGAGGCTGGTAATCAAAATTTGAGAAAACAAATACTTGTTTTTGTTAAAACAAATAAATATTTAATGGATGATAACAAGGAAGATGAGTTATTTAATTTAGGTATTTTCCTGTCAGTAATGTGATGAAGGGTGAGGCAGAAGGAATGTGTGATCAGAGATTGGCAAAAGCACAGGAGGGTGAACAGGTGGTCAAAGTCAGAGGAGGAAACAAATGGAGTATTTCAACTTTTTCCTCACAGATAAGGAGTGACAGAGAATTGCTTGAAAAATCAGGATACTCAGGGAGGCTGGGATTTTAGAGCATCTTAGGCAAGAATGAAACAATACAGAAAAAATTTAGAACAATGTCTAATAAGTTGGCAATAGTGTTTGGGATGAGTCTTTAGGTAATTTCTTTTAATGGCATTTGGAGCTACTTCAAGAGACACAGAAAAGATGGCAGATAATTGAAGATCCTACTGAAATGTGGGGTCTTAGATGAACCAAGGCTTATTCGAGTGTGTTAGGGTAACAAATTTGGTGTGGGAATTTGGGAAGTCAATTATATTTAACTTCAACTATGGTAGTTTTGTTCAACTGTGGCATTCTTTAATGTGACAGACTAGTGACTGGTGGCTCCTCTGCTGTTGCTGTTAAATGGTGTTTTCTCTCCTAGGGTTTGGACGTGGCAGAGGGAGAGGAGCGGGGAGGTTTTCAGCCCAAGGCATGGGGTAAGAAACATGCAGAGCACAGATTTTGGCAAGGATCAAACACAGTGGCAGTATTTATTGACAATGCTGCCACTGTATGTATGGATACTGCTGTATGTTTGATAATCTCATATAGATGAAAAAATTGAAAAATCTCGTAGGTGGTGAATGGAATATTTTTGTCTTAAGCTAGTGTTTCTAACTAGGCACACCTGTAGAATCCTAATGCATGTCTGTTCAGTAAACTTGAAGAGCCATACGTGCTATCAGTAGCAGCCACATAGTGCCTTGGAGTCTGAAAGTTGTGTGCTACATGTAGTCTTAGCTAAATTTTAAACCAGATTTATTTCAGTGTAATGCAGAATGTGCAGTGAACGTATATAAAACTTGGAAGTGGTAATTCTAAACTTTGTTCTGTTTTGGAGGTTTCATGCTTTAGCTGTTCGGACCCATATGGACCTTAAAACAGATTCAGAAGAAGTCATTCAGCAGGTTAAAAGCTTGCTCTCAATTTTATTGGAATAATTTGGCTTGTAGAAATGTATCCTCCACTACGTTCACTCAGTGTTTGCCTTTAATGACACTTCAAGCAACATCAGTAATGTCATGATGAACTGGAGTCATGTTCTACTTCTCTAATGATTCTTCTTGGTCATACTTGCAGATGATGAACTGAAAAGAGGTTTTTCTTCAATAATGCTTTTTTACCTTTTAGCTGCGTCTGGGTATTTTTGGCATCAGTGTCAGCAGAGCACTTTGAAATAATCCTACTGGTGCTCTGAAAGGACATGATAGTGGTCACTTATCAGTCAGCCACCTGCTGAAAAACTTACCTGTTGAGACAGTCTTATTGTTGTGTGTATAAACTAATGCTTTATAACACTGGGAGGAACTGGGATGCTGTTAACTGGTTTTTCAGGAATTTATTTAGTTGTCTCTACAAGAATTTTACCAGTCTCTTCACTTTTTTCTCTTATTCTCTTTTCTCCCTTTTTATCTGTCTGCTCATAGAAGAATTTTTTTTTTAAACTAAAAGCTGTCAAGATAACTTATGGGGAAATCAAGATGTTAAGTCTAATACAACTTCAGCTAAAAATTATGACACTTATGCTCACTGAATGACCCATGTGTTCTCTTCCATTTCTTAACTTTCAAAACTCTAGGACATTTAATCCTGCAGACTATTCGGAGTCTTCTGCCACTGATGGCTTTGGGACAAAGTCAGAGATCTGGGAGACTGGTCAGAATGATGCAGATGATGGAACTGGTAAGATCTTCAAGAAGTGGAAGGATTGGAATGAAGATCTGTAGCATATTGCAGCTAAAATAACTGTTCTGTTAGAGTTCGATTAACTTTTGAAAATTGGTATACATCTCTTGTGACACAGATATTAGGTGATTTTTAAGTTTAGCTGCTGCTGATGTGCAGAGCCCGAGTGTCTCTCTGGTGAGAATCAAGGGAGGCATTTTGCAATTCTTTTATTATAGTGCCAATAAACCCTTGAGGAACAAAGGAATTTGAAAAGTCACTGGAAGAACCTTGTATGTAAATAAGTGTTTAGATACCTTAATACTGCTTAAGATCTCACCAATTGTAGTTAAGGAGCATAAGTCCTCCTAGAATTGATTGGTCCACAGGCTTTGGGCAATAGGATCTGAATATCTAAGAAGAAAAAGGAAATAAAAAGTTTGCAAGTATGAATTCACTCAGTGACACTGGGATGGCTTTGAAAGTCCCATCTGCAACAATGCAGAAATTTAAGGATGTGAGTCCGTGGATGGAGGAGAGTTCCAAGATCTGTGACTTCTGAAGAGAAAAGTTACTAACTAAACCACGAGTAGGCACTTGAATTGAAGCCAAAAATCCATTGACCTGTCTGAAGATCAAGGCAGATGTGTGTTTCTGTATGAAGTTTCAAGTGAGAAGTACACACTTCCAGCTAGAGACAAGAGACTGACATAGTTTGGAAAGGAACCATTTGGCAGTGATTCATGGTGATTCAGAAATGAGGGTGGCCTGCTTATCTGTGATGGGAAAAATAGGATACCTTGTTTCTTCCTGTGTTCTGTGATAGGAAATGAAGGCAATGTAAACCGTGTATTAGAATGGAGAAAGTCATGTATGTTTTTGTCCTCACTTGGGAGCCACTGAGTGTATTTCTTTTAACTGCAGCAATGGATAACTCTTCTGATTTCTTCATTGGTGAAGCCTACTCAGGTGATTTTTCATCAACTCCTGTGTCAAGTGTGGAAGCTGATCCTGAAGGGCACAATGTGCTCTGTTGAGCTCTGCTGTGAGCCACTTGAGATGCAGCTTTCTAAATGTCTTACAAGCCATTTTCCACTTAACTAGAGAAGACAACAATAGGCTCAAAGTTCAGGGAGGCTTATTAAGCAGCTGTCTTGTTACTCTGATTGCCTTCTCAACCAGTGTGGAAGAGTGGTTTTGAGTATATTAGTGGTTGTTAATGGGAGCATTCTTCCCAAATATGGTATCTCTCTAAGGAATTACTTCTTATATTACTTGGTGCTGTAGCACGAACAGAAATACGTCTTTTGTTTTCACTCACGTTAGTTTTTCAAATAAGGAAGATACCTAATGTATTGAAAATTCCTTTGGGGATTCTTACATTATTGTTTGCTACCTGTTAGCGAGGGGCAAGGTGTGTTACCACAGGCGTTGCAGAAGCTATGAGGTTAACTGAGTAAAGAAACATCTGCAAGAAAGGTACTAGGAGACTGGATCAGAGGTAGAGAATCACTGTTTTCTTACTGCTGATTGCAGTTGTAAGGGTATAGCTTACATATGACTTGTGCTCTACTTCCAAAATGAACTCAAGTGTTCTGAGACCCTCCCTGCTAACTCAGAGTAGCCTCCGTGTGTCTCTGTTACAGCAGCCTCTGGCCTTGTAGGCAGAGGTAGAGCCTCCTCATCCTTATTACTCAGTATCAAGTAATGGAAGAAATCTGCCTAAGAATAAGAGTAATTTGGTGTGGGTAAACAGATCCTTCTAACAGTATGAATGTGTCATTGTGAGAGGTGTGCTGCTGGCAGAGTGGTGGAAATTCAGTTTTGATGTGTGGAATTTCTGTTTGGATGCCAAGCACATTTTTGCTGTGCACATATCACCAGCAACCACACTGGACTTCAATAACAGTTTAAGGCGTGCATGGAAATTTGGGAAGCATTGTAGGAAGAAGGTGTGAGAAGGCATTTGAGAATTTTCTCTGGCCTTGTCAGATGAATGAATCTTTGAGGTATGAATGAGTGGGTGTCATTGTGAGGGAGATCCTGAAAAATTACTTGGTTGGTGGAAAATTAAAGTAAACTAGGTAAATGTGAATGTTCTTTTTCGGTGTTAAGTACCTTTTTGTTGCTAATCTTAATTTACTTTCAAATGAAAAAGGTACAATAAGTGACAAAACAAAAATATCTCTAAAGATGCTTTCTTTTATGGTGTTGTAGACAGGCTCTAGGAATGTCTGAAAGAAGTCTCTGGGCCAAAAGGAATCACTTCAGAAAGAACAGGCTTTAAAATTGAATCATCAGTTGTCCAAGTGGGTAGCCCTTTCAGCCTTTTGATGGAAAGCATCTTGAGGGTTACAAGAGGAAGCTGCAGCTGGGATAGTAATTTTACAGCAGAAGAGACTGCTGGGAAGGAACATGGAAGCAGTGCTGTGGGAGGACAGTGAAGTAGGTTGCATAAAGTTGAGCATGAATTGACTTGTTAATCCCAAATATTAATTTTCAGGTTCGCCCCCTAAATTTACAGTGCTGTTTTGTTAATTACAAATCAATGACCCAGTTAAATTCCCAATGGGGAGTCAACTAAAGTTCTGAATGTGGGAACTATATGTGTATGGAAAACTATAAAGCTTGCAGTGGGCTTTATAGATATCAGGTAAGAGTTTATACAGGAAAGACAGGAAGGTCTCTTTATTCCTCTTTACCCAGTTCCATTTCTTATTTAATCTAAAAAGAAGGTAAAAAATATTAGCTTATGCTATCTACTTGGAAAACTAGTGTCTTTCATCTGCAGTTACATTAAAGAGGTGATAACTGGGTAACTACCTAGAGAAATAAGAGATCTTTGCTTACCAAAATATTTTCTGGAGTTGTTATACCAATATAAACGCTTTGTGACATTCTGAGTTATGTACTAAGTATTTCTTTCTTTAGCCCTGCTGGGGAAATGAATATTTTCTTAAAAAATAAATACATATTTGTTTTCAAAATGTAGTTTCTGTCATGTGTACTCTGAAAGTGCTCTAGAACCTCATGCCCTGAATTATTGAAGATGCCAGAGGCCTCATGATAACTTGAATAGTGTTTCTGAGTGCACCACTGTGTAATCCAGTGGAAAAGCTAGCTGGTTCTGTGAAGGTAAAATTTAGAGTTGGCTGAAGTATAGACTGAAGGGCAAGTCTTTAATAGCTCATAATGTTATATCTAATTGTATCCCAAATATTACAGCATCAGTTTTCCTGCATCCTAATTTATATAGAAATAATGTGAGGATGAAAGACAAAGAGAAGGGACAGATGAAGAGAAACAATATTACCAGTCCTCCTCCAAAAGGAAATAAACTTGAGCAGCATAATTTCTCTCTTTTCAAAATGTACAGGGCAGTGAGAGAAAATGAGCACAAATCACAGCAGTTCTTATACATAAATTATATTAGGGGTGCTCACTTCTCAAAGTTGGTAAAAATGGCCTTGTGTTCTGGTACTTTACTCACATCTCTACTTTGATAGAGTTTCATAAGTTTCATGTTACCTTTGTTACTTTAGTTATGAACATCCTTAAATTACTCTGAAACTTAAGAATGACTAGAAATAAATAATAAATTATAGAATAACTTTCAAGAGGGACAGCTGTGTTCCTTGGAAGGTACAAGGAAGATGGTGTTTGGGTTTTTGTTTTTGGGAGAGAGTTTTGTGTTTCTTTTTTTTTGCAATATCTGCTGTAAAAGCCAGAAGGAACATTTTAAGAAAACATTCAAGTCTTTCTAGAATGCAAATCCAGAAGGAAAGATCTAGTACATAAGTTCAGCATAGACCAAGTTAAATTTATTTTGGGGCTAATATCAATGATTATTCAAAGAAAGGGTAAAAAATTAAGGAGTGTGACAGGGAGAGAGGATAATTGGAGGAACATAGCTGAAGACTCATCAAAATATGTATTCTGTTTTTATTGGCTTAATAACTTTCTAAACTGAACTTGTTACAAAGAAAAAGAGGGAAGGATCACAAATAACCACCTAGGCTGAAGCTTGTATGACAAGGGTCCTAGAAAACACAAACCATAATTTTGATGGAAAACAGAAAACTCTTGAAGTGTGATGCTTTTCAAAGCCTGTGGGAAAGATTGGGAAGAGAATGCATGAGTTGCAGTTACACCAAGGTGGATTTTGGACTAAAAAGAAATTGATGCGCCCGTGACAAGATCTGACTTAGAAATCCTATTAATAGGAGGAAGACATTCAAAAGCTGGATTTAGTGCAGAGAAAAGTACTGAAATAACTGAGTGGAATGATTGAGTTGGGAAGGAAGAGCTGTTAGTAAATGACACTAGCAAACTTAGCAGCCTGGGTAAACTAATAAAAAGGTGAAAGGCTGTACACAGTATTTAAAAGAATAAACCCTCAGGACTAGTTTTATAAGAGGGAACAACAGACAGTTGTTTAATGTCAGGAAAACATCACAAGTATTATTTCAAGTAGGTTTGGTCTCCCAAAATGTGATGGAAGATACGCTAGAGTCTGACTTGATGTACCTGAGCTTTTTTAATGTTTATTTTATCAGACTCTGAGCTCTGTTTTAGTGTTCTGGTGTCAGTACAAGGCTTGTCTTCTAGAGACAGGCCTTGGCACTGGCTTATAGAGATGAAATCTAAGTATTTGCCCTACTTGTATTTATCTTCAAAGAAGAAATACTGGGGGAAGGGATTCTGTGCTGGTCAGGGGAAGGGAAAGAAAATCAGCTGTTCCTCTAAAAGCTGCTGATCATTGGGCTTTTCCTCCTTTTCACAACTTCTGTAGAAATGTGTGGATTGCTCTAGAAATTTGAGGCATTGTAGTAGTTTTGCTACAGGATATGGTTATTCATAAAAACATCATCCCTGGGTAGGGGCCTTTTGCTAAAATGTAAGCATGAGATGTTTCAGGCAACTCTGTATTGCTCCACAGAGCCCACACAGAGCGGATGTTACCTTGCTCAGGACCTGCCAAATAATTTTGGATTCCAAGGTATAGTTCCCCTCTCTTCCCGCCACTGTCTGTAACCTCCATGGTCATCCCGTTTGCCTGACAGGACTGGCGCCGCTCAACCCTCCTCTGCCAAAACCACTGTGGTGTCATGGGGTACGAGAGGAAGCACCAGTGCAGTTCTGGCATTAGTACCAGCTGGCTTTGATGCTGTCTTTGGGGGGCTTGTTTCTGAATTGATGTGTCTCAGACCGGTTCCTGGTTAAATGAAAGGAGATGATTGAAGCAGCAGTCTCTTTGCTTTGTACTTGATCCAGGGTGCTGGTGGCACTACCTTTGGTGCTGGTGTTTTCTTTGCTTGTGGTTGCACAGTTACACAAAGGCTCTGGTTGTTGTTGGAATAACCTTCCCTGTACTGCTGCCAGTGGTCAAGGCCTTCAGTCCCTTTATTGCTCTTGCATGTCTGTACCTGCTGTTTCCTATAGAAGGGGTTGGGTTTTTGCATCCATTTTCCTATTTGTGCATGCTTCACTCTGCTCCAGAGTTTGCCAAATCCAATCTGCCACAAGTTACAGGAAGTGTTTTTTGGATACAGTGGAAATTTAAAGACTGTCCTGCTACCATAGTAAGAATTATTTATGTTCTAAAATGAATTGCTCTCTCAGGGGAAGGAATTGGAGCTGTGCTACTCTGAGGAGTGAATTAACAGGTTGAAAAGTAGTCTCCACAGGCATAGCTTGGGTCTTGAAATTGAATTTGTTGAAAGTAGGATTGTGGGTCTTGGAGCAGGTGTTGGTGGTTGTGTTTTGTTCTGTATGCATTTGTGTGTGAAACTAGAGGATCCTGTGGGAGGGTTGAGTAACTTTTCACTGCCGTTGGACCCATAGGAGGAAGTTCTTCCAATGTTTGAGATTAATCACTGGGTGCAGATGTGCGTTCATGCAAGTTGAGTCCGGTACCAACGTGACTAAGAAATTCCTGAAATGAGAAATCAAGGGCAACGGGGGGGACTGGTGGTGTTTCCCTCCCAAAATTTTAATTCTGCAGACCAGTTTCTTAGAGCTTCCAACCATGTTTCCAAATATGTTTCCAACTTCCATCTCCTTGCTTTGTGTTCCACTGATAATGAAAACAGGATTGCTTGTAAAGCAGAAGGATTGAAACACAGTGTTGTGCCTTTAATTTGTACCTGTTTTCTTTCTTTCCTCTATTATAACAGGAGCATGGAAGAACTCAATAGAAGAATGGACAGCAGAAGACTGGAATGAAGATGTAAGTCCAACTGGCTGGATATACCAATTCATTATTTATTCTCTTCAGAATTTGTCTTGTTTTCAAAAACTAAATATTTGAAGTAACCCATTATTTCAAGTTTATTTTCAGTAGAGTAAAAATAAGTCATCCCTTTTGCCTCCTCCTGCAAGGTGGAATGTCAGTGTTTGTCCTGGAAATGTGTGAATGTTTCATGTAACTGATACGGAAACTCCATCCTTACCTAATGTGATAGGGATGTATCTTTTGAGAGAATTGAAAGAAATTCTTAAATTCCTAGGATTTCCCTATCAGTTAATGACATCAAAAGCTGACATGTTTTAGACCTGTCTTTAGTTTCCTCAGTGTGTGCTAGAGGTGGACTAAGGGCTAAAAATGGTGGAAATCTATGGGATGTTCTCACCCCTGTTTGATGCTGGTACAATACAGCGTTTGTCAGTAGGGAGGGGTGTTGAGCAATGCTGACTACGGATAAAATTTGTTTTAATTAGTTACTAGAGCTGAATAATTTGCAAATGAATTTTGAAATCTCTAGCCCATTGTTAATTTTTATTCATTTTGGATCCTGTAAAAATCCCTATAACAGAGGAGAAAGTTATTTGTCAGCTAATATTCAGAAATAGTGAATGAAATGTCATGGTGCGGATACATTAGCCCAAAACATGCACAAAAAAAAGGGGAAAATATGTTATATCTTTTGTTATAAAAATAATTGCATTCTATCACAAAACATTTTAGTGTATTGAAATCTGCCTTGCAAGTTTTGGCAAATCTGTTACAGTAGGATCCTTATTGAATATGGGCTTTTGTAGGAAGGCTATAAGTTCTCCCAGTCTGGGGCCAGATGCCATCTAGTGCCTCAGTTAATGATTGGGAAGTAAAACTAAAGTAATTGTTTAATAAAATGTTTGTAAAATACAAAATGTATTGGAATAGCATTTGAAAGTAAGCCAGTCATGTGGCGAGATTTGGACTTCTGCAAGATTTGAACTGTTCCAATGAAAAATATAGCCAAGTATCCATTTGTTTTATAGGAATAAACACACACCTTCAGAACAAGGGCCTGGTGTCTGGAAAGCAGCAACTCTTAAGTTTTCAGGATTGTAGTGGATGATGGAAAAAGAACAGCTCAGCATGAGCTGATGCTGTATTAAAAAAGCTATTTTTGCCTGTTGGCACTCTTCCCCATCTCTTAGTCATTCTTGAGTTATGTTTCTGTATGTGGATGCTCCTGAATTTGATTCTTAAGTATCAAATCAAATTTCTCATTGCTTTTACAGATGAAAAATTGTGTATTGTAGCTGAAAATGTCTGATCAAAGATCCTTGAGAAGGGAGATTTTAGTTTAGGGAATCTGAAAGCGTTACTTTAGGAGCATATGGTAGACTCTGGTTTTACTCTAGCAGAGGTGTAGTAGGAACCTGTGTCTGGAAAATGGATCCGTGCATTTAAGTGTGTAACAAACACTTCTAGTGGCATGACTATTGATTAAAAGAACCAAGGAAGCTGATATATTTACTGGCTGCAGAGAAAGACCGGGTGTATTTTTAAAGAATATTTCTGTTTAAATGTGGTGTCCTTTAGTCAGATACAAGTTATGAGCAAGTGAGTGAAATTTAACATTATTTGACCCAAGAAGAATTAGGTCTTTGTGACCTAATAGTCCTGTCTGGTCCTTATCTTTTGCAGTGAGTATTAAGCAAGTATAATAGGTTGTCAAGGTGCTATTAAATAGAACGGAAACTTCTTGCAGTGAAAATAAGAGGTTGTGTTTTGTTAAAGGGATATTCAGGACGTTAACAATGAAGGACTAGACAAATATTGAGGTACTTTAGGTGGCTCTGGATTTTGCTCTTAAAAGAAAGTAAAGTTTAACTATATCAACTATTCCAAAGGAAAGAAGTAGAATAAATACAAATTGCTGGAAAGTGGGTAATGGCAAACGTTTTCTGTAAAGTATAGTGCTAGTTTTTATTTGAAACCACAACTACACTTTTTTAAAAAAGGAAAGGGAAAAAAAAAGAGTGTCTTTTGCTGGGAGTGGTTTATTTACCAGGAAGCAGCATGAGAAGTTGTTTTAATTTCTTTACCCTCACTACAACATACCAGAACAGTAATAAGCTTTTTTTTTAATTTCTGACTTGTTGATGTTGAGTTTTAGTGAGGATGCTGGAGTATATTTTCCTCTTCTCCTCACCATTCCAGTATTCCTTTAGGAACTGATAGCTAGTTGTCAAGTGCACTGTCTGTTTGGTGATTGGAGAATGATTTTATCATAGGAACAGGAGCTGGAAAGCACGGGCATTTCACTGCAGATGGAGGATATATCCCTGTGAGGCCAACACCGACAAATGGCTCACAACCATTCGTTCAGTTCTGGGAAAATGCCAGAGCCTCAGTGAAAGATTTGTGAGTGTAGTGTGCAGCAAGCATAATGGCTTGATTGGGAGCTGAAAATACTACTTCTGAGAAATACTAAATACATCTGGTAATAAAACTTTTCAGCTGCCACAGCACGAAATATGTGTTTTGACGATTGCCGTAATCCCTGCAGAGTACTGAATTAAGTGCTTGATTGGACCTTTTGGCAGTGAGTTTGCCACAGGTTGTAGTGTAAATCTCAATGTAACTGAGCTGGTAGCTGGAGACTTCTGTTTGCATGCTGGTTCATCTATAGAGAACATTTATTCTCTCACACATCAAGCATGCATTCGCATTGTCACAAACATCCTCAGTCTCCTTAATTTGCTGAATTTCATCAGTGTTTGTCCATGGTTAGTCTTTTCCTGTATTATGTGAGTGTAAGAAACTGGTGATATTACAAAGAATTTAATATTTAACCAAGGGATTGCAGACCACAGAGTGTTGCTTGTGCCATTAGCTGACTTCCTTGTGCCATGTAATGCAGGAATATCATAATACCCCAGAAAGTACAGTATGCATTGCTCTAAAATAAAATACATCGTGAGGAAAGAGCTGAACAATAGAGGAACAGCCTTTTTAACTGAAATGTACTTAAGTGGAATGTTCTTTCTTTGTTTTGGTCAGTACACAGAGTTGTGGGCTGTCAGCATTCATCTCAGGACAAGTGATCCAGAAATGAGGGATTAAAGTGCATTGTGTTGGCAGCAAGGGGGAGAAAGAAATGGAGGGAGGAGCTGTGTTAGGACTGATTTCTTCATGGTCTCATGTGCTTCTTGCAAGAGTATGTGAGATATCTCTACTCTGCTTCTGAGTGCTGATTTGCTCCCAGTCAGCTCTTCTGTGCCCTTCTTAAATCAACAGTGTTTCATAGGAGACCGCTATCAGATGTCCATATTCAGGGATACATATGCTCTCAGTAGAGCTGCCTGTGGGATGGCAAATTAAATCAACTCGTGCCCTTGATGTCCTTTAAACTGCTAGAAATGTATGCAGTTAAAAATGCATCATTCTTAGAAGAGCTGTATCAAATGGCACATTCTAAAGGTATTCTTTTGCACAGGTCAGTTATTCTTCAGTCAAAGACAAGGCTACTAGAGGAATTAAGGATGATTTTTAAAAAAGCAAATTTAAAATACGAACATTGTACATGCATAGCTCTGTCTTGCTAAACCTAACCTGTACTGACTTAAGATCTATTCTAGTTTGCAAGTACTTCTGTCAGTAGAAATTAGCCCTAGGAAGCTGTAGCTGTTCAACTACTACTTTTTAAAGGAGAAAAAGTGTTAAAAATCCAACCACATGGCAAAAAAACAACCCCCTCTTTTCCCCCATAGTCCCAATTAGCTCTGCTTCTCCAGGTGCCTGTGCAAGTATCTCTCTGTATTGTAACAGCATGGTGAACATAGTGCAGCTTTCCTCTGTGGGTGGTCTGTTACGTGAGTGTCAGCATGACTCTTATTTTATTAGAGTTTCCCAGCTCGTGCTCTCAGAGCTCTCAGTTAAAGACCTTATTGCCTCTCCTAACAGAGCTGCCAAGAAGGAGCCATGAATGCTGGTTCACTGAACTTACCTGTACTTACCTGCCTCTGGTGGGTGCTGCCGTGGTGGGAGCTGAAATGTCAGGTGCAAAGATACATGGAATGAGTGGGAGCAATGCAATGTGTTGTTACCCATGTGCAACAAGATTTGTCAGAGTTGCTCTGTAGTGTCATAAATTGTCTGCACGTTGTTGGTAGAACGGCTGTCACATTAATTACTTTCTACTGGTGTATTTCAGTTAAACTGTTTCCCAAGCTGATGTAGTTACATTGGTATACAGTTCTATGCTGGTGCGTGTTGTCAGTAGGTCAAATTTCCTAACCCAACCCTCTAAATTAATAGGTACTTGATTCTGTGAAGAAGATTTTACTGAAGTTTCACTACATGTTTTTGTCTTTTTAAGCAGAGCTTCAGATTAGCTGTTTGCAATGGTAGTTTGACTTTACTTTTATCTTGAAAATGCATGACCAAAATGAAATTTCTGCAGATGTTGCAGGAGGGAAATGTGACCATATGAAATTCTTCCCCCATCTCTTTTTCAGCTTTCTGAAACAAAAGTCTTCACCGCATCTTCTGTTCCAGCTGAAAATCATGTGACTCCTGGGCAAAGGTAAACTCTTCTTTCATGTTTTCCCTGTACTTTAAAAACCTTCTCCTTGATTAAGCAGTGTTAGCTTGCACACATAAAATACTGATTAAAATCTCCATCAGAGATTGGTCAAACTCATCTAAAAATTGAAAAAGCCCTGCTTGCAAATTGTTTTCTGTGGGTTTCTGAGTAACATATTTTTGACTGGGAAAGTGGAGACAAACTTACCAAATGTGTGAGCATAACACATCTTCTGCATCAGGACTCCTTAGAGGCAGGAAGAAAAGTAGCTGGGAAGAAAAAATTTTTTGCTGCTGAAAAGGAAGTTCTGGCTTTAGTGTCCAGAAAATGGAAAGCCTTTCTTTGTAGATGCAGAAAGTGTTCACAATGTAGCACTTTGACAGATGTGTTAAATGAAAGTTTGCATTGACAAAAAGGTAAATTCCCTGGTGAGCATCACAGTTACTAGCCTTTATGATGACAGAGGGTTAAGATCAAGAACCAAAAATAGGTCAGTTGCTGCCTTCCTTTGCTTGCCTTTGTCTTCAAATGCCTTGCTGGTGATGATGAGGAATTAGCTGCTTGCATTAGCTTCATGTTCCTAGAGAGCACATCAAAGTATAGTGATGAAGACTTTGGTAGTTGGATGGCATGAGATCTGAAAACTAGATAGGCTAATGGTTCCAAATGCCCTGTTTCTGCTGTACTGCAGAAAAATTTTCCGTATAATGTGGATGTGATTTGCATGAGGCATGGTGTCACATGGTATATAATTTATATTTTTTTCTTTCTTAAAGGTAGTATATTCATGTGTTTTTGTTCTGCTCTTACAGTGGATGTCCCTCAGATTATGTTTTAGTTTATCCACTCAAATTGGGGTGGGATTTTTTTTTGTTTGTTACTTACTGGCAAAAAGTTCCCTTCTCTTTCTTTTGTATGATAGACAAAAAACATTTGAAAAGACTGCTAATCAGTAATAATTCTGTTGCTGGGATGGCAGCTTTAGTATTGCTAGTGCTTTCCTCAGTATTAGTGAAGTTTAATCACTGTGTTCATTCCAGTCAAGTTTCACTTTGTCTTACAGCATTGATTTGGTGACACTGCTTCAAAAGCCAGTGACATCTACGCAAGAAACAGAAGGCAACTCATTTGAGTCTCCCCAGCAGCAGACCTTTGGCCAAGCCTTAGTATTCACAAATTCTCAGCACAGCACGCAGATGGCATCAGGAACAGGCAGCTCCAGTGCTGTAAACTCTTATTCTCCTCAAAGTCTGGTAAAACTACCTTATGCTTTCTAAATATTTTGGTTTTTAAGTGTTGTTCATGAGTAAATATTTCAGGTTAAACAACTTTTCCAGTGCTGGTCATTTCATGAGATGTTTTGGTATTTGCTGAAAAATGAAAATTAAGAATATCTTTCTTTCCTTTCAGCACCCCCTCCTCCCCCCACCTCCCCCCCCAATTTAATTTTTCATTTTGCTGGTTGGTTATTTATGCATTTACATGAAGTAGTTATATTAATTTTTGATTAGAGAGCAGATGTGCTCATTGCTTGCTGATGTAGGATAAAATAATTTGTTTATAGTTAAGAGTTCTAGGCCAGAAAATGGATGTGTTATTTCCAAGCACATATTCAACTGCTTCTTGTGGAAGCATGCCTATTTCTGAGTCACTTTTGAGGGTGTGAGGTGAGGTGTTTGTTCTCTAAAAATGGTCCAACTATTAGTAAATCTATGATATTTTAAGATGCATAAGTTCAAGTATGCAGTACTTACAGTAGTGGAAGTTTTTACTGGTCAATTGTTAGTAATCTGTGTCTGAAAAGATTTTAGTTGCTGCCAGACAGCAGCTGTAGGCATTGACCCTATGATTGTGTTCAATTATTAGTTAAAATATTAACTGCACTCCTTCCCCTTTTCTTCTCTGTCTTTTGGTAGTCGGCAGTTCTTTGTTCTGGCTTTGGAGAGCTCAGATCTTCTAAACTGACAAATTCTACTGGTTCCCAAATCTTGGACCAATTGAAATCACCAGGATTGGGTCAGTTTACCTCTCAACAAACTAATAGCAGTTCTGCCACCACTAGCACAGTTGCTGCGTCATCCTGGGATCTAAAACCACCTAGTACTCAGTCCTCAGTCCTCAGTCAGTTTGGTAAGTGCTTTGACACAGGTTCTTCTCTTTCTCTTTATAATAGCCAGTAAGATTCCTTAATGCCAATGATAGTTTAAAATTACTTTAATGAAAGACTTGTTAAAAAAAAATTAATCCTAGTAATACAATTACTTGCAACATTTTAAGTGTTATGTTTATTTGCTGGTAATAAACATTGCAAGTATATAATAATCTAAGTTTTGTTAAACTTAAGCCTATCCCTAAATGTCATTGCATGTTTAAAGTTATTGAGCCTTCCAGGTAGTGACATGTTTGATTTAGTGTGTTTGAATATTTACATGGAACTTTGTTGGTGACTGTTTTTTCAACAGATACTGGAAAATACTTATTTTTATTCTGCTGTATTGCTTTTAGCTGAGTGTAAAGTTGTGTACTTGTATTTTGTTTTTTCCCATATTCTCTCTTCTAATCGTTACATGAATTTTGAATGAGTACTATGTAATTTCTTCATAATGTGCATCACGCCTCAGTGTTCTTTCTGTAGTGTGCTGTGAAGGATTTGGATTACTTGTTTTGTATGTTTATAATTATATTAATTTTTCATGTAACTGAGTGAAATTAGTAGCAACAGTGAGAATGACAGAAACTTATTTTCTGTAATGTTGTTCCTAGCAGTATCCTCACTGTGAAGAAGATAGCTCTTGTGTCTCTAGTGTGTGCGTATGTTTATGTGTAGATAAGCAGCCATTGGTAGCAATTACTATCTTTGACATGCACAAATTAAAAAAAGAAAAATTATATACATTTTAATGCTTTCTAGTGGATACGTTTAAGCTTTCTAATGGACTTCACCAACTGAATAAAAACCCCTTCACAATGGAGATGCGGGAGGTCTCGGTGGTGGTTGACCAGTGCTTTAGGTCATCTCTTGGCTTTCAGCATCTAAAAACTATGAAAAGCAAGACTGGGGAAAAATCCTATTCATGTCCAGCATCTTTTTGATTCTCAGCTATTACGAGATGGTAGAAGACTTCCTATTTTTTTTTAATCTTCTTCTTTGCACAGGAAGGGAATCCTAACTCATAATACCTCTAAATTTTAACAACTCTTTACCTCTTGGAAGTAATCACATTACATGAGCACAGTTAATTGCAGTGAAACTTGAAGTGTTTGATTAAAATAATCTGTAACAGTTTTTGAGGACTTGTGTGTGATAATATTGTGACTGTGTATATAGGTTTGTTTTCACATTTTTGGAAAAAAGTAAATAATGCTTGGCCACAGCTGTTTATTTGAAGTAGATGTATCAACTGTTGTCCTTATTAGTGTTTGAGTGGTAATGATCCATGTGAAACCCGTGTGATGTCTGAAAAGACTTGCAAATGCTGCAGAATCATAGCTATTAAGCATCACTCAGATTCTTGCATAAAGAGTAGAACTGTGAAGAGCAGAATTCAGTGCTTTAATTTTGGTATTTCTTTTTTTCCAACACTGACCAGACTTTAAATCTCAGCCTGAGCCATCTCCAGTTCTGAGCCAGCTGACACAGCGACAGCAACAAATGCAGGTGGTTCCTGTTCCTCCTCCTGGGCTGGAGTCATCCTCCTCCCAAGTAAAACTCCGAGAGCCATCACCAGTGGACACCTCTACAGCTGTTAGCAAAATATTACAGCTCCCCACTATTTCTATGGATAGCCAGGCAGTGACTGTTCATCAAACCCAACAGAAACAGATAAAACCGCCAAAAAGGAGGATAACTCCAGCATCCAAGGTGGGTAATTGAATGATAGCTTGTCATTAGTAAACTTAAAAACCACAAAAACTTGTGTCAGCAGTGGCATAGCCAGCAGGACCAGGGCAGTGACTTGTCTCCCTGTACTGGGCACTTACTGGGTGAGGCTGCACCTCAAATCCTCTGTCCAGTTCTGGGTTCCTAATACAAGGAAGATGTTGAGGTGCTGGAGCGTGTCCAGAGAAGGGAACAGAGCTGGGGAAAGTCTGGAACACAGGTCAGAGGAGCAGCTGAGGGAGCTACAGAGGCTCAGCCTGGAGAAAAGGAGGATCAGGGGAAACCTGATCACTCTCTAGAAATGAGGGTGTAGCCAGGTGGAGATTGGTCTCTTGTCCCAGGTAACAACTGACAAGACAAGAGGAAACAGCCTCAAGTTGCACTAGGGAAGGTTTAAATTGGATATCAGGAAAAATGTCATCACTGAGGGGGTTGTCAGTCACTGGAGCAGGCTGCCCAGGTAAGTGAGAGAGTTACCATCCCTGGAACTGTTTGAAAGATGTGAAGACATGGTGCTTAGAGACATGGTTTGGTAGTGCTGGCTTTAGTAGTTGGACTTGATCTTAGTGTTCTTGTCCAACCTTAATGATTCTATGATTTGATTTGGTATATGTTTTATGTAAATTGCAAGGGAGAAGGAGAGCAAAGATCTTGGTCCATTTCTTATCTGTGTAGCAGGATGTGCTAAGCTGGATCGCTATTAGGTCCAAAATATTGTGGTGATATCTTACAAGCAGATAGCTTGTTGCTCTGTGTGGAAAATGGCTGTTGCTGAGTGATTTTTAGAGTGACTTAGTAGCCACAGTGTGAAAATTGGGGGGGGGGGAGGAGTGTACAAAGATGATACTTTGTTATTGTGGAATAGTATGGTTTACTCCTTCAGCTCCAGATTAGAGCAGAATCAGTAGATTAATTTCAAATTGCAGATGCATGCAAAGGAATTATGGCTTCTTTTCTTCCTTTAAGATTCCTGCCTCTGCTGTGGAGATGCCTGGATCAGCAGACATGACAGGGTTAAATGTTCAGTTTGGAGCTCTTGAGTTTGGATCAGAGCCTACACTCCCAGAGTTTGGATCAACTTCAAGCAGTGAAAATACCAACCAGGCGACCAACAATAGCTTATATTCAAAATCTGTAAAGTATGTGTGAGTTGCCCTCCTGCATTCTCAGGTGTTCTTGTAGGGGGTCAAGTTTGTGCCAAAAACATCATAACAGGGTTATAATGTAATGAAAGGAAAAAATAATATGATTTGTTTTCTGTGGACTGTATCTTAAATGATAAAATTCTACGCTAATGATAATCAAAATCTCCCTGGATGGGTAGATGTGAAGCTGGAGATGACATGAATATAAATAACCTTTATAGAATTTATTTTTCACGTTAAATTGCCCTGATTTTCAAGTGTTTCGGGGGTTTGTTCCTCACTACTCATGTTTTTCTCCATCTGACCCAGCAGAATTGACCTTTGTACCATACATGAGTGTTAGTTAGTAGATTGTCTCCAGGTTACAGATCTGATGCTCCTACAGGATGAAAAAATGGGAAAAGAAGCTAGGTATTCTGTAGACAGAAGCTCTTACTGAAATGCTACAACAGCCAATGATAAGTACCAGTGTACCACTAAACAGTTTTAGTTCCTTACTCATTGAAAAATTGCCCTCAGTAAAAAGCTTCCTGAAGTTAATTCAGAAGTATTAATAAAAATTAACTTCCACATAACTTTTAGTTTTACCTGTAATATTTAAACTAAGTGGAAAAGAAAACATTCCTGCATGTTTTAAAGTGTTTTTTAGCTCTTTGCATAATTCATTCTGTAACATTAGAATTCTATTGTAAAAAGAATCCTATTGTTGTTATTCATCGTATGCCAGACTTCATCAATTCTGCTTGTTTAAAAAAGAGAGATTATGATCATTAATTTGTCCTTGGAAAAGGTGGAAATAACATGACTGAAAAGTGCTTGTGTGTAAATTCTTGTTTTGTTTGGGCTGGAACGAGGAAGGTGAATGGTGCTTAGTGCAGTTGATATTTTGAAGCAGTGATTAGTAACAACCAAAGCAATATTATAATTTTTTATACATTCTTAGATTTTTCTAATATAAATAGTGTAGATTTTTCTGTGTGTTTAAGGTAGTTCTAGATAGCTATATAGAAGCTGATATTTTCATGAAGGTATTTTAAATACTTGCCAAGATGATAAATAATTATTTTTTTTCCAGTGATCCTTTGAATACCTCTTTGCCAATATCCAATACAGTACAGGACTCCACCTACACAACCTCTGCCATCAGCTCTTCCAGTCTGACCTGCTCATCCCAGACCACTAGCCCAGTAACAACTTCCTCCTATGACCAGCCTTCTGTGCATAGCAGGATAGCGTACCAAAGCTCCATGGCTCTGTCTGAAGCAGCCCCTGTTGCAGTTACGGTGAGTTCATTACAGAAACAGGACCTAGAAAAGGGGGAATACTCTTACCTGTGTTAGGTTTGTATTCCCCTGATGCATTAATGCTGTAAGCAAGCCAAGTGGTATTTTGATTCCCAAGCCCACCCTCTTACTTGTTTTTGCTTTTCCTGGTGTGTAGTCATTTTTGGTAGTACTATATTTGGGATATTAGAGCATCTGATTTTGTGGGTCTTGACATCTTAACTTGTCTTTTGACCTTTTTTTCAGTAACACTTAAAATTCTACTTGAGTTTCCTTCCCTGAAGCTAAGGAACTGTCTCTGTATGTATATATTAGTTATGGTATTTTGCCATAACTAATAACTTGACAGTTTCTTTACAAATGCATTTTATTTTCTAAATTTACATGGCACCTAGCAAATGAATCCAATTTTTTTCTTGGCCCCTCCAGTATTGCTTTTCTGTTGTATTTAAACACCAGTGGGAATTAGTTTCATGTGTTATTTTAATAAGCATAAGGAGTGGTCTAATATAGGACAAAGAATCCCTTGGGAGATTCAGACACACCTGCTGTCTTTGTATATGGAATGTAGGTTTGTTTTAAAAGAACTGAGTTTATTGAATGTTTTAGGAACTTGTGAGAGTTTGTAAGTTTATTTACTTCTGGCCTTTGTTATGTGTTGGCTCAGTCACACTTGTCTTCTGCACTAGCTCGTATGTACTGGTGAGGATCAAGCATAGACTATCCACTTCTGTACTCCAGCGTTATCCAAAAAACAACTGGTGCTTCTCAAGTCTTATCTTTCAATGGAAAAAAATTGGCGTCTCTGTGTAACTTGGATAGTTAAAATTGTGAGTTACATTAGATCAAAAGCACAACCATTTCCTATATGTTAATGCAATTCCTTCTTTCATATTGGTGTGAACCTGAAGTTTATGTTATATGCAGTACATGGGAAGGTTTGCTGCTAATGGGTGTATTATGGGCAGTGTATGGGTTTCTCTGTGTTCAGGACACCTTGCACTTCAGATGACTTAATGATGTAGTTTTTTTAAAGGCAGTAAAAATTTAATTTTCTGCCTTATTGTTCAATTTAGTATGAATATAGAATTTTGCATGAAGCATGTTCAATGTGTGATTCAGTCTGAGCATTTAATATACCTTTAAGATGATTTGTTAATTCATTTCTTCTTTGTTTACAGAACGGGCACAGTGGTGTTAGGACACAGGCAACACTTGACAGTAAGTTTTCAAAGCTTGGTTGAGCACAGGACTTTCTGTTCATTCCTTGCTACTTGCTGTGCACACAGGTGTATCAGTGACATTGGTTTAAGGTTTTATATTGTTCTCCATGACTAATTTATGGCTGACCCATTTGACTTTATTTGTGCTTGCAAAAAATGCTGCTTCCTTCTTGACTACAATTGAAATATGAAGGCAGGTCTATTAAATCTACAAACCTAAACAACCTTAGAATTAGAGAAGCTGCTTTGCTGCTGGTTTTCCTTTTGAATTTACCTGTCAGAAATCAGTTAATATAAAATAAAAATGCAAAATTAGAAATAAATATGAAATTTTTTAGCAGTTCTTCCAGTTCTGACTTGGGAAGCTGAAAATAGCATGTATCTGCAGTGAAATGAAGTCACATTCTTTGAGTGCACCTCTCACTAGGTATAATTCTATCTCTGCCTTGTTAGAAGCCTGTGGGAATAAAGGTGAGAAACACATTCCCTCGTCTGAATTTCTTAATACCTTGCAAACAGTGCTTCAGTATTGATTGTGGTATAAGTGTTAGTTTCTTCATCTTGGCCTGTTTCTAATGTAGCGTGGACCTGTACCCGGCCTCTTCTGATCTTTGTGCTGCTCCATGGGAGTTCTCAAGGACAGCAGTGTGAATTAGAATCTTTTGGAATTCCAACACCTCCTTTTAGGTCTAACCTCCTCTTAAACATTTCTTCAGATAGGCCATTAGTGGGACAATGTTTTGTTAGTGCCAATTTGAATTTAAAGTAGCAGGAGTGTATATGCTCCAAGTATACAAAGACAGCTTTTCAACACAAGAACTTTTCTAGTGTTGTGTACAGAGTTAATAAACAATTTATGAAATTCACTACAGAACCTGTCCTTTTTTTCTGCAGAAAACAAAGATCTGAGTATTCCTATTACTTTTATATTCTGTAATGGCTTTACTAGTCTCTTTTCCTATGCCAGTTCTCCTTTGAGAGCATTTCTGCTTTCTTCTTCCATTGAGTCTATTTTATGCATCCAAATGATTTTGAATTTGTCTTAACTTTTATAAGTACTTTCTCCTTTCTCTATGTACTATAATGTTCTTAGTTGTTCGTCTCTCTTCTTTGCTGTTCTTCTTTAATACCCAGATCACAAGCTTCCTAAATCCTTAATTCAAAGTACGACTGAATTTTACTCCTGACCATGCTACTTGTCTCCTGGTTTTCTTTGTCTTGCACATTGCATTCAGGCATCTTGTAGGGAATCTTAAGATGGTGATTCTGTCCCTTGTTTTGAGGGAATCCTGGTCTTAATATATTGGGAGTTTTAAATGTTATTTACTCCTTTTTAATATGAGTTTTATCAGGAGTTATTAGGTGATATAGTTGCTGCCTTCATAACCATGTTTGTCACTTGGATTTCCTTCTCTTAGAGGCCATACTTATTGCCAAGGCCAGGACCTTTTAATTCCTGTTTGCATTGCAACCCAACAACCTGACTTGGGTCATTTAGCTAGGAAATCAAATCCATAAAATGAACAAACTCTAATATATAACTTCCAAGTGTGTATTTAATTTTTGTTTGATGAGTAATCTAGAAGTATCTTCACATACATTTTAAGTTAATGTTGATCCACTGGGTAGTGGTCCCTGGTGTGGTGTGGGAACATGGCCCAGCAGAAGGTAGGGCTCAACTCTTTTCTAAGTTTTATTGGTGACTGAGTGTCTCTCTCTAATTCTTTTTTTTGTAGGAGTGTATAAGTGAAACAGCTGGGAATTATGTTGGGCAATAGAATTTTCAGGCATCTTACTACAGTATAGTGATCCTATAAACAAGTTTTTGTCTGTGTAGCCTAAAAAGTGTAAGATAAAACCTAACAGTTTTTATTATCTAAGTAAAGTGAGTCAATATTGACAGCTCCTTAGCCATAAAAAATACTTAATGCTGTGCTCAATTTTGGCCTTTCATTGTAGCTTTTGTCATTCTACTGCAGTACACTTTTGACTGAATATACCAAAGTGATAAGTTACCTACCCCTGTACTCCAGCAATCTCAGGCTCCATCCCCAACAGTGCTGTGTAGGTCTGAATGAAGAAGCAGAGCTGCAGGTGAAACTAGATTTGTACAGTGCCTTGAAAAGGCAGAAATTGCTTGTGTTTACTGAGCCAAAAGCAAGAAATTTTAGAATGACTTGTGAGTGTAAGTTAGTAATCCAGATAGAGGCAGGTGAAGTGCAGAAGGCAGTTGTGTACTACATGTGTAGCAGTGATAATTGTAAATTTATTATAAGTAGAGAGCTTAAAGGGAAAAAATGGTAGTTCAGTTGTGTTTGAATTTCTCTTCATAGCCAAATTGCTTGATATGGTTACCAGTTCTTAATGGTCAGATTTTTGCAGACCAAGGGGAGAATGTGCTACTGTGTTCCTGCCCTCTGGGCTGAGAAGTCAGGTATGCTGAAATTTTAATCTGAATGCCTCTTTTTAACTTGTTGCAGCTATTTCATCAATTGCAGCACCTAAGACAGAGCCTTCTCCCTCGCTACCTTCTGCTGGCTCTCTGCCCAGTGTGGTGTCTACCACGGCCTCACTTCTACCTTCAGCAACGCAGCACGTGGCAGCATTGCCCAGCTTGCCTCAGTCCAGTGATCTGGCCAGCAGCTCACTCTCCCAGCTGAGCAGGTACAGTAGAGTTGTGGTAAACTGAGGAGGTCAGTTTTGAGAATAGAACAGGTGTAAAGATGGTTCCATACGGGGCTGGCAGGCACCAGGGGTCCCTTTTCTGATGTGAACCAGAATTAGGGGAGAGATTAAGAGGAGAACAGAAGACAGCTCTGGGCTGCCTTCTAATGGCAGAGCAGCTGCTGCCCTCAAGCTTTCATGATGCATATACAACTTTGTGTTTCAAGAGGTTTGCTTCAATCATGCTAGTTAAATCAGCTAAATTGATTCCCTCAGTTTATTTTTCCTACTTTGCACCTGCTGTTTTTGTTCGGTGATATATGTTTGAAACTATTCTTTAACAGTTTACTACATGGCCAATTTGAAATAACGTAGTCTCATTTGTATTTCTTAAAATTAAAACTCAGATATAATTTCACAGGGAAACTGTGTGTGTTTTCTTTTTCTAAGATACTTCCTTAAATATTTAAAAATATCACTTTGATGTTCCTGGAAGTGCATCTAGCACAATTCAGCTCATTTGCACTGTCTCTTTGTTTTTCTGAATGCCTGTTACATCCTCAGTCAGGTTGATGCCTTAGGATTTTAACTTTTTTATTTTTCATTTATTTGTAATCCTGCAGTTCTTTAGTGTATAACTTTAAACTCCTTATAGAGTATTAGCTACTATCTTCACATTTTGATTAGACAAAACAATTCCTCTCTAGGTCTGGGACTCAAGGACACGTTACTGTTTCGGGCCTGGAAAGTATAAAGAAATGTGATGTGATGGGGAGCTAACATGGGGTAAAATGACTTCATTACCTGAAGCTGTAATTGAAAGATTAACTGCCAGTATGCAAATGGACCAAACTTAGCAAAGTGTGAAAACTCATGACTGGTCATCCATGTCTGGGTGTAGCCCCTGGGAAGGCTTCATCTACTCTTAATGTACCTGAAGGCCCTTCAATAAATAGAATGATTTTTTTTATTATCTTAATTTTGTCTGGCCTCTGGTTTTAGGGAAGCCTGAAAATGGCATCATGGTGACAATCCTGAAGGTGTATTTGATTGAGTTACACTTTTGATACTTACCTTTGTACTCTATTTGTTAATACAAGAAACTGATCTGGGATATCAGGGAGTTTTTGTCCTGTTTCACAGCTAGGACATAGTTTCTTTTTTTTTGACACCCTAGTATTTTTTTTTTGTTGAATAAAATAGTAAATATGTCAAACAAGAGCTATTCCCTTTACATTGGTCACATTTCCCCACAATAATTTGTTGAAAAGCCGTATAAACACGTGGAAATTTCAATTGGAGTTCAGTGCTGTTGGACAGATACAAAGTTTCAGCCATAGATCATTGGGACGCCTGAAATCCAAATGTGTCTGACTTGGTAGAGCCGATGGCTGTCGTCTGTGTCTCTGCCATAGGTTGGATGGTGAATTAAGACTTATCAGAAGAGCTGGGAAGAGTGGGTGAGGGAGTGGTATAAAACTCTTACTTTTCCCTTGCTGCCTGAAGTGATGTTGTTCCAATTCCTGCAGAAGGGGGGCAGTTTTGAAAGTTAATCTGGAAAACTGCAAAAGTTTATTCTGGGCCCATGCCTTGAAGAGCTACTAGAAGTGTTTGCCCTTAAATTAGGTCGTGTAATGAAGCTGCCAGCTTTGGTATGAAAACTGTCTTTTCTTGTGGCTATTTGGATTGACAGCACTAAACTAATTTTGCTGTTAGGATCTCTCCTGCTTCTTATTTAATAAGGATGGGGTTTTTTAGCACCAGTCTATACACATGTTTTATATCTTCATTTTGGTTACTTTTGTTCTATGTTGGTTCAGTTTATTGCATACTATATACAGTAGGTTACATTCTTTACCTTGAATATAAGGTATAACTTGTCAGTTTAAATTTTCAAATGCCAGTTTCAGTCACCTTTCAGGAAGACATTTGAAGATCTCTGGTTGAATTATGGGGCAAGTACCCTGCAGTTTTAATTGGTTGAGTTAATGTTATGCAACTCAAAATGTGAGAAACAACACAGTGAGTCAAACCACAACACTGCCTCCCTTTAAACCTGTCCCACATGGTAAGCAGCACCAGAGAAAGAAGGAGAAACCAGGCTTGTGCTTGTGTGAACCTTGTTTTGATTTTGGACTTCATGTGTCGTGGAGTCATCGCTATTTGATTCCTGAAGCAACTGTAGTTTTTCTAAAGATATAGTAAATTGAAAAATACAAACAAATGGTGGTTTAGATGTTTATTGTTAATAATAATGACTCTGCACTTGATTTTTTTCACTAAAAGGTAGTAAGGTACTAATTAAAGGAAAAAGTGCCTGTAGAGGTGTCTGTATTCATACAGACACATACACATTTCTCTGTGTGTATGTGTATGTATGCATACACTCTTACATGTAATTTTTCTTTAACTCCTTGGTTACTGTAGGTGTGCACACACACCTAGAATTTTAATTCTTTAACTGACCCCCTACTGCATATCTGTATTTGTTAAAAAGGGGAAATTAATTTTATAAATTCTTTACAATTTCCTTCCAGCTCCCTTTCCAATCATCAGACCAGCCTCTCTCCTGCCTCAGTGTTGTCTTCAGGCACATCACATGTGGTAAGTCCTGTTAGTCTTTAAACAAGTGCTTGTCAGATAGTCAGTTTATCTCATAATTAGGACCATCTCTTAAAAGTTGGATGTGTCTCAGTACCCTAAGAACCAAAAGAAGAGCGTTACTTCAGGGAAGAAGGACTGCAAGCCCTCTAGTGGGAGAAAAGTGATTACCACTTGTGATTTGTAGCTATGACAGAGACTTGCCAGTTACACATCTGAGGGAAATTGTTGTGCCAGCTAGGGGGAATGAAACAGAAAAAAAATTGCTTATAACTAATTTATTACAAAACAAAACAAACTTCAGGCAGTCTGAAATGTCTCCAAAATGTGGGCTGTTAGCACTCTATACTGGAGAGGTTAGCTGACAAAATGCCGGTGATGGAATGATATATGTTACGTTTGAGTTACTGTATTACAATTTTGTGATGGTATAGCAATTTGAGTTTAGCTCCCATAGAATAATTTTCTTTAAATCACAAAAGCTTCATAAGCATGCAACTTAGTTGCTTGCTTGGTACATAGGTAATGCATATCTTTTGCATGTGCTGCTGTTACTTTAGAAGTTTTTGTTGTTGTTTTCTTTTATTTTTCCCTTTTTCCCAGCATCTTCCACTGTGGTTTATTTGCTCTGTGATCCTCATTCTTTTTGTCTCCTTTTCTAGCACACTAGTATTGAGAACACAACTTCGCTCCAGCCCTCAACAACCTTTTCAACTGCTTCAACCTCAGCCACTAGCACCACCTCCTCGGTTGTCAGCATGGCAAGCAGTATGAACACTACAAACAGCCTTGGCCTGAGTGTTACCAGTGTGTCTATACCAGCTGCTACCACACGGGCAGCTCCCTTAGTGTCTTCAGGTTGGCAATATTGACAGATCACGTGGATAGACAGAGGATTTCAGTCAGCAGGGCTGTCAGTTGAGCATCTCACCTGCCATAACAACGCTAAGAAGTCCACACTGTTCACTGACATTTCCAGCATGCTGTATTTGCTGGCTTATGAAATAAAGTTGCCTGGTTTTATGTATTTGAAATATCTGTTAGGGTGTTATGTGGCATTTATATAGCACATTCCATCCCCAAAGAGCTTTATAAATACACACCAGAGCAGTTCTGACTTGGGAAGTTTTGGGCTAGAAAATTCACCCAGTTTGTGTTCCAAGCTGTGATCAGCTCCTGACTATGAGTTCACACGAGCTTTAGTTTCAGGCTGTTCTGTGACTTGAATTCATTTGGCAGTATCAAAATATACTGCAGTGTCCTCATTATCATGTGTGACATCCCTACTGCCACTTCCACAGAAAGGAAAGAAATGTCTGGGTCATTGCACAGCAAATAGCACTTCAGAAGGAGGGTCCATGGAGAAGGAGGGCTGGGAGGCTTCTTGCACTGAGGTGGAAGTGATGCTAAATTCTCTTTCTTCTCTGATGATCCTGAACTGCTAAAAGGAAATCTTACAGAGAGAAGTGAGTGACGTATTGCTAAGATCAGGCTTAGTTATAGAATTATTTCTCATTTCTATTGCTTGTAAATGAAGTCTCTTAGGACTGGCCAAAGTGCATTTTTCTTTTACTGTTCTGCTTCCTAGCACTGCTTCATGAAGGCAGCTGAAACCATTTCAGTCTTCTCTTTGCTATTCCTAGCTGTAGTAAGCCAACCACAGAAATCTGGCAACATGTTGTGCTTTCCGGTCTATTGCTGGAGATAAAGGGAATGCATTGACAGAGCAGGAAATGAAAGGAGAGAATTTGCTCTCTCAGATTGAGAGCAATTTCTAAATTTGCCTTCAGAAAAGGACTGAGCAAAAGAGAAATTCTGTAATCTTGTAATCCTTGTATTCTTGTAATTCTTGTAATGCTCTTGGACAAAGTAAATGACAAATTCAAGCTATTCTGTGATAGGACTGTTTTCAGGCTAAACTAGCCTGTGCTTTCCCTCCCTTGAGGCATGGTTAAACTCTTGAGGCTATTTTGGGCACATTCATCAAACAACACAAAATCTCCTCTTTGTAATCTAAGATGGTGCAGCTGCCGCAACTTGTGAACTATCTTGCCTCAATGCTGAAGCCTTTTCTTTTCTAAAGGCTTGTTAAAGTGTCTGTATTTTGATTCTACAGGCAAAGCACCCCCAAACCTGCCCCAAGGTGTACCACCCTTGTTGCATAACCAGTATATTGTGGGACCTGGAGGACTTCTGCCTGCCTACCCAGTAAGCAGTTTTATTGTTTCTCTTTGATTTCTTAGCCCTTGGCGCAAGTGGGCCCTCCAGACCTGCTGCTGTCTATGCCAAGTCATTTCTGGTGGCACATGCTACACCTGGAATTCTTGTTTCAAATGCTGAAGAACATCTGAAATATGTTCAGTAGAGGCTTACTGTTGATTGTAAACTGAAGAGCTTTTGGTACAGACCTGATCTGGCTGCTGTTGAAGCTAAACATGGGTGTGGCTGTGGTTTTCAGTGTTAACAGGTTTTAGGCCCTTTGAGTAAATTTAGGCTCTTTTAGGTTTGTGTTACTGGAATGGATTTGCCATAGCAGTGACTGAAATGTGCCATGTGTCCTGTCTGTCATGATTTGAAAGACTGCACATAGCTTTTTGATGTCTGACCAGCATCAATGTATTTTTGGTTATCTGTTTTTTGAATCTGAACATTTATATCATTAACTTTGCTTTATCAAACTGAATGTGAGGAGATACCCAGGAGGTTGTGTTGTGGTCAAGTCATCAACTCTTTAATCTTAATGCTCTTTGAAGCAATGATTACAGCAAAGAGGTCTATTGTTCTTACTCCCAAATCTGAATGCCTGGTAGATTTTTCATAGGTTCAGGAATGATGTGTCTGTGAAAACTGTGTTGAAGATGGGACAGTCAAACTCTTCTCAGAGGACATTGTCACCAGGAAACAACATCAGAGTGACAAGCTCTTTAACTTTGGTTCTACTCTCCTTGAAATGCTGCAGTGCCCCATGATAGCACAGTGCAACATATGGCTGTAGACCTTTAACTCAGACTGGGCTTAAGTCAAACTCAGTTCAAAGCCCCATACTGATCAGCATCAGAAAAAAGTGTTATAATGATGTTGTATTTTTATCTGTCTTTAAGCAGATTTATGGTTATGATGATCTCCAGATGCTTCAATCCAGACTGCCAATGGTAAGTAAACAACTTAGTTAATTTTGAAGAAGTTGTCTTCACTGTTGATCATTTGTGCCACAGAAATTGATTCATTTAATAATTGTTAAGAGCTTTTTTTTTATATTATGTAATCTTTCATTTGAAATTTGTACAAGGATTGTGTAAATTGATGCAGAGCAACTGTTGCATCATGCATTTGTCCAGCTGCAAAATCTCTAAATAGACACAAGTGTGCTCTGTGCTCCTGAGTGGAGAAATGTCTAATTTTTATAGCAACATTATGACATTTTGTCTAATCTAATTGAAGTCCTAAGTGTTTTCTTGTACCAAGAGGTAAGGTTGAACAGCAAGTACACAAGTTGGTAGCCATGCGGTGTATTTGAAATTTTGGATGTGGTCAAAGGTATAGATGTTTGCCAACGCATCATGGCAACAAATGCAGGTGAGCTGCAGGAGGGAGAGTGTACGAAGTTGTTTCCCTTATCTGGATCCAGAATACAAATGGCATATGAGACAGGCTGAGCTCCCAGGTAGATTCAAAAAAGGCCTCAACCTAGATAGAAAAATGATAAAGAATTTTCCTATCAAAAATGTAGGGTAAGAAACTTGGAGAGAAGGTTTGGTAGTAGGTAGTTGAGAACAGTTACATACTAGAGTGATGCAGTGTATCTGTGGAGGCAGAAATGGAGCAGTGAGCAGTGATCTGAGAAGACTGGATGAATGCCATAACGTAAGGCCCAAATAAGTAACAGGTATTCCATGTAGTGCTTGGAGAAGTCGGAGTGAGATGGTTTGAAGGTGAGTACAGGGATGACTCAGACAAAGCCCTGTCAGACTACAGATCCTGAATTAAAAAAACTCCAAAGCACATGAATAAAGACTTTTACCAGAGAAAGTTGTGGTACTTGAAGATCTTTCAACTGAAATGCGTGGAAGTATCTTAGTGGCAACAAGATGCAAATATTTTAAGATGCAGTGCCAGGAGACACATATTGTAATGTGTTAACACCAGCTAGATGCCTGGTGACCACCAAGGTGCTGTATCACTCCCCACCCTATCTAGTCAAGGCAGAAAACACATCCTGAAAGGCATGTGGGGTGAGATAAGTACAGGGAGAAGTTACTTCCTGGTTGCAGTCATGGGCTAAAGAGGCTTGAATTGGGGGGAATTAGTTTAACTCATAAGCAATTAAAACAGGGCAGTTAGCAAGTAGATAATGAAATAAAACCAAACCTACAGAACACCTTCCCTTCTTCTCTCATTTTTTCCTGCACTCACTTTCACTCAGGATTTTTTCTACCTTCATCTTCCAAGTGGCATAGGAGGATGGGGAATGGGAACGCCTTCTGTGCCATCACACTTCTCCTTCATCCTCACACTCTTCTCTGTACCCATTTTCGTTCTACAGTCCTCCTAAACTTCAACAGGAGTCCTAAAATGTTTTATGTTGAAAGAGGTAATCTGGTTGCAAGCAACTTTGCCATGGGAAGCGAAACCTTCTCCTGGACCACATTGCACAAAGCCCCATCCAGTCTGGTCTTGAAAATTTCCAGGGATGTAGTACTCTAGCTAACTCTAGGACTTGTTACAGCGCCTCACAATCCTCATAGTAAAGAATTAATCAATAATGCCAGATATAAAATTTCTTTCAGTTTAGAGAAATTCCCTGCAGACCATTGCCTGTCACTGCAAAAGCTGTTCAAAATCCAGTTTGGTCCTTTTTTCTAAGGGTCGTTGAAATGTTAAAAGGCTGAAGTAAGCACTGCCTGGAGCCTTCTCTTCTTCAGTCTGAAAAACACCTGTTGCCTATCTTCATAACAGAATTGCTCTGATGCTCTGTTTGTATTTGTGGCCCTCTAGTGGAACTTCTCCAGTAAATCTGTGCCTTCTCCGTCAAAAGGCTTTCAGATACAACAGTAGGGAAGAGAGTCAGAAATTACTAGAAGAAAGACAGGCTCAAGACATGATGGTGAGGATGATATCTAAACACCTATTGATCTTTCTCCAAAGAGGTTGATGTGAGATCCTGCTTAGACAGGTGCATGCAAGAAGAGAGAGCAGGAGATGTTCAGACCAGTATATGAGGCGGGGCACTTTATAGGGGTTGAGTTGAGACTTAGGGCGTTTTTCTTCTTGGGATTCAGCTTTGTGCATGGTGCTTGACCGTGTCACGCATGACATCGTTGTCTGTGAGTCAGAGAGGCGTGGATTGGGTGGATGGAGCACGGTGTGGATAAAGCCGATGAGGTGCAGCGGTGCTCTCCAGCCTTGGGGCGTTTTCTTCTTGGGATTCTGTGCTGTTGGCCAAAGGCCGGCTATGTTTTTGCACGGGGGCTGCGGCAGCAGCGTCCTGCTTGGGCAGGTGCCATTGAGGAGGGTGGACAGGGTCTCTTTGGAGCAGGGCTTTGCATAGGTGTTGAGTGGAGGCGGCTTTGCCCTGGCCCAAAGAGAGTGGTTGCGGTGCTAGAGAGAGGAGAGGCAGTGGCAAGTGTTTTGTCGTAGGTCTTTATTTCCAGTGGCATCAGTAAGTGAATAAGTAGAAAAATAAATACGTGAATAAATAAACTAATAAATTAATAAACAAATCAATAAATATGTAGAGAAGGTCCTTTGTCCGTGTCAGTGGGAGAGGCGGAATCGATGGAGATGCAGTGGTTGGAGGCTGCGGGTGCCGTGCGGTTGTTGCAGCCCTGTGTGTCGTCGCAGGTGAGAGGAGGCGTGGGGTTGGCGTGTGGCTGTTTGCGCTAGCGGCGCATGGTGCGTGTGAGGTTGTGGAGGTGCTGCAAAGAGGCACGAGCTTCGAGGCGGACGTGGTCCCAGGCGCAGGCGCTGTGGTTGTGGGCGTGGAGGAAGAGGTGGATGTCCCTGAAGTACTTGTTGATGGTGAGCAGCGGGTTGCGTGGTCCTTTGAAGGGCATGGCCTTGTCGGGCAGGCATTGCTCGAGGTGGTGGATGTGGTGCTGCAGTTTGTTGAGGAGGTGGTTGCGAGCCTGGCTGGGCCAGTGCTGGCGGGTGCTGTTGGAGCTGAGGGTGTGGAAGAGGTGCTGCAGGATGCGTAGGGCGGCGGCGGCGGCTTGCTGCGGCTGGAGGTTGTTGCTCAGGAGGGTGTCGGGGAAGAAGGGCCGCCCTTGGAGGTGGCAGGGCTGTGTGTGGCTGGCAGCCATGTCCTGGAGGAGGCGGAGCGCGTCGCCGGGGAAGGCGTCGTCGTGTGTCCAGAGGTGTTGGCAGGCCAGGGTGGTGGCCAGAGCGGTGAGGAGGAGCAGGAGCGGCGGGGCGGCGTGCGGCAGCCGTGGCTGTGTGGCTGTGGGCGCAGCCATGGTGGGTCTGTGGGTGCTGTCGGGTGCTGCAGGGCAGGAGCAGCCTGCTGAGGCTGGCTGCTGCTGCTGCTGGCGGCGGCTGTGCTTGGGCTGCCGCCGGGCACGAGGCTTTGTACGGCGGCGGCTTTCCCTTCATCGCTTTCCGATTCCTGGGAGTTTCCGTCCGTGGTTTCCAGTGTGTGCTGGTGGCTCTTGTGGTCTCTAGTCAGTGTTTTGTTGGGGTGTGCTTGGCTTGGGATGGTCTTTTTACCTCTTGTTTTTTGTCTGTGGAGGTGGTCTTTTGTCTGTTGGTTGTGGGGGAGTGAATCCCCAAATTCATGCCGCATCATTTAGTTATGATGTTATTGTGAGTTTTTTCTTGTTTTTCTTTCTCTCTGGGGTCTTGTCTTATTCCTCTTGTGTTTCACTGAATTTCCCTTCTTGCCCTGATTAGGGCACTCTTCAACAGTTGTTGTACAGTGTCTTGAGCTTTACCCTCTTTTTAAACTTATGTGCGATGTGTGGCAGAGGAAGTAACAGGAGTTTTGTTTTTTTTTTTTGATGAGTGGTGAAGTCAATCTTGCTAAACTCCTCTAAACTGAAATATTTTAAAATTTTTTGAAGTTATGTTTCTTGAGTGATATTGCACGAGCTGGGACATGTCAACTTTATTCAAGGTGTAGAAAAAAGGAAGTGGTGGTAGTGGTAAGTTACTGATAAGTAACTATTAAACTTCTAATAAGTTGCTGAGCTGATTGAGTTGTCCCAGGTTTTAATGCATTAGAGTCAATCTTTTTATTCTGTAAAATTCCATTTGCACACCTTAACTGCAGGGTTTTTGAGCACACACCTTCTACTAGTGTGTATGGATATTTGTCCCTTGAGTCGGGACACACCTCTGGGTTATTGCTTGGGGCTGCACAAAAGTCATTGGGTTCATTGCGTTGTCCACTAATTTGTTATTAAGCTGCTTTTTAAAAGATTGGTGCAATAGAGCACTGTACAAGTAGTTACAACTGTCTGGTATGTGTCATAGATAATTCTGATCAAAATTCTTTGATTATTGTCATGATGAATTTTAATAATTTGTTTTTCCCATATAAACATATTTCCTTCATAAATGTGTAAATATGTCCATAATCTTTCAGGTCAAATTAAAGGCTTAATTACACCTATATAATTCTACAGAGATGAACCATTTACCTAGTGCGGGACTAGGATTGTGGTAAACTGTCTCCAGATTTGTCTGAGAAGGAGTTTAACCAGCAAGGAGATACTTTTTGAACCTCAGTGGGGCGACTTCCCTTATAAATGTTGTCTAAAGCTTCTATTTTGCCTGGGACACTTACCAAGTCTTTTTGTAATTGTCCATTAGGTTTTTCTGGTTTTTTACCTACCATATGGTTGTTTTCTGTGTATTCATATGAATAAATTCTTTCTTTTTAGCCTTTGATACAGTTGTAAAATGGTTTATTTCTCAGGAGCCCCAGGAGTTTGTCAAGTCATTGAGTTGAGGAGGTGGCTCTGGGTCTAAGGACCTGCACCTAAGCAACTGAATGTTGATGAAGCTTCTGCAGTGTCTTGCTTCCCTTTTGGAGTTTGACTTTCATTGTGATGGAGTTTAAGAAGTCTCCTCTAAGCTGTTGCTTTTGAACAATAAATGATTTTTTAAAAATTAATTTTAATTGTTTGTTTTGTCCTGCATATCCCAAATGCAGTATGATGCTGAGTGGAGGTGGTATCAGAAGAGCCTGCTCATGGCCTTGTCCAGTGATGCTTTTAGATATGTCCCCAGGAATGGATATCACTCAACCGTTCTAATCCCTATTCTGGTGTTGTATCAGCTGAATACAAAAAATAATACAAATTTTTACATTTCTTCTTTCATGTTTGAATGCCCTGTATTCCAGTTTGTGTCATTACCTCTGCTCCTGTTTTTGTCTTCAGCTGCCTCAGAAAAGAGAGAACCAATGAGGTCCTCATTCCTGATATCACAGGGTACTTCTGGATAGGAGCATCAGGAGGACAGTGGTATAATGTGGAAATTTCATCTTGAGGGGTCCTGCTGTGTACCTGAATATATAAAAGAGCTGGTTGAAAAGCTCACCAAGCCACTCCCAATAATTTACAAGCAGTCCTGGCTAACCAAGGAGGCCCCAAGCACCTGGAGTGTGGCCGGTGTAGTGTTTATCTTCAGGAAGGGTCAGAAGTAGAGTCTGGAGAGCTATGGGCCTGTCAGCCTGACCTCAGTGCTGGGGAAGCTCATGGAGAACTTGAGTGCCCATCACATGGCACCTACAGGAGACCAAGGGGATCAGGCCCAGCCAGCACTTTAGTGTGGGGAAAAAGAGGCTCAGGGGAACCTTATCACTCTCTAAAATAATCTAAAAGAAGGTTATATACCCATGTGGGAATCAGCTTTTTCTCCCAGCAACTAGCAATAGGAAAGGAAAATGGCTTCAGGTTGTGCCACTGGAGGTTCACATTGGATATTAGGGAAAAGTTCTTCACTGAAGAAGTGGTCAAGCATTGGAACAAGCATAGGGAAGTGGTGGCGTCACCAGTCCTGGAAGTGCTCAAAAATTGAGTGGATGTGGCTCTTCATGATATGGCTTAATGGCATTTGGTCAAAGGCTGGGCTTGGTGATCTTGAAGGTCTTTTCCAACCTTAGTGATTCTGTATTTGGTCCTCTTCTTTTCTCACTCAGCTAAATGGGAGGTGATCATTTGTGTTTGCATGGAGCAGTGTCCTTGCAGTGGTGGAGGTTGTTTGAGCACAGGAAAAAACCTCTTTGTCCCATGCAGGAGGAGCCCAGATACTTCTGCGTTGATGGTTGGAGGGTGAAGAAGCAGCTGTTGCTGCTGATTTGTGGGCAGTTTCCTTCATGAGGAATGCTGTGCTGGTTGGGTTGGACCATGTTGAGTGGGGGTGTTTGGGTGATGGATCTCTCTGCTTGCCAATGATGTGTTGGGGTAAAGAAGGACAGAGGATAATACGCTCTGTGTACTGCAGCAGGTCCCCATAGCCACTGGGATGTAAGCACAGGCAAAACCATCCTAGACCAGTTGTGGTGGCCGTAGCAGAGCAGTGGGCAGTTCTGGACATCTCCTGTGGGTTTTGTGTCTTTTTGGTGTTTCTTGGGTGGAGTTGGTAGCACTGGGGTTCTGTTCCGTGTCCAAATCTCTGCAGACCTTTATGGGTCCCCTCCTTGATTCTTTGAGGTGCACCTTGTCTATGCCACCCTGTTTCTTGCAAAGCAGTGCTCTGGCATTGCAGAATGGTTGTTTGTGGTGATATGATGGTCTGCAGGTAGCTTTCATGTCTTGGCTTTATTGGAGGTTCTGGAAGGGAGAGTGTGGTGGTGGAAGAGGAGGAAGTGTGCAGGACAGGCATCATGCCATTTGGGGCAAATGGGTGCCCCAGTGGTCTGGCTGTAAGAGATGCCTGGGGGGCTGCAGGACCACCATTCCCTGAGAAGGATCTGCTGTCCACAGCTTTCAACCCAGGCAGGAGGCATTGGCAAGACGGGCTGCAGGAGGGAGACTTATCCCCTCACAGCCTAAGGGGTCTGTGTCTTTGCATGTCAGGTATAAGCATGAAGCACAGTTACCACAGGTTTGCTTTTTCATTCTTTTCTGTTTACAAAAAGTCTTTATTTCTAACAAAAGAATAAATAAATAAATAAATGGCCAGCCAAATAAATAAATAAGAACTATATTAATGAATTAATTGAATAAGTAAGTAAACAGAGTTCTGTGATAAATAGTGATTGGAATAAGAGTCCCACAGTAGTTCCCCAGTGTCCGTGATCCCCTTCCCATTCATCAGGTGGATGAATGCAGTGAGTCCACAGGTAATAAATACCATCCATATCCCCAGTGCCTCACAGCTGTCCGTGAGTGTGTAGCACAGAAGTTTCCCCTTCCTCCCTCTCCAGTGGCTGTGGTTTGCACATGGGCTGTGCCACAGACTGACCCCAGTGTCACACAGTCATAACCCCTTTCCCCATCAGCTCATCATTGGCAAGAGGTGTGACTGGTACCAAGCGATCCCAGCCTGGGCTGCTGCCATCACCACTCAATCCATGGCCATTGGTGCTGGCTGGGGATGGGTGTTTGCTGTCCATGAGTTTAGTGGGGTCCACGGCAGCTTGGTGCTTCATTCTCCGTGTGAGTCTGTCCACATGTCGGAAGCAGACAAGAGCTTCAAGGCGGACGTGGTCCCAGGCGCAGGCGCTGTGGTTGTGGGCGTGGAGGAAGAGGTGGATGTCCCTGAAGTACTTTTTGATGGTGAGCAGCGGGTTGCGTGGTCCTTTGAATGGCCTGGTGTTGTCGGGCAGGCATTGCTTGAGGTGGTGGATGTGGTGCTGAAGTTTGTTGAGGAGGTGGTTGCGAGCCTGGCTGGGCCAGTGCTGGCGGGTGCTGTTGGAGCTGAGGGTGTGGAAGAGGTCCTTCAGGATGCGTAGGGTGATGGCGGCGGCTTGCTGCGGCTGGGGGTTGTTGCTCAGGAGGGTGTCGGGGAAGAGTGGTGGCTTCTGGAGATGGCAGGGCTCTGTTGTGTTTGGAGCCATGTCCCGCAGAAGCTGGAGTGCATCCCCTGGATCGTGGGTCCGCAGGTGGTGGCACGGGAGGCCGGTGGCCAGAGCCACGATGAGGAGCAGCAGTGCCAGGGTGCGGTGCCACAGGCAGGGCTGTGCACATTCAGGTAGAGCCATGGTGGAGCTTTGGGTGCTGTGCAGGAGACTGGTCTGGCTCGGTGGTGGTGGTTGCTTTGCTTGGAGTGCCGTCGTGTGTGCATTTTTATGTGCCTGTGCCCAGGCTTTCCTTTCATCACCATCCTCTCGGTAATTTCCCTTTTCCGTTTTCACTTTTGTTTTTTCTGTTTGCTTTCTTCTGAGGGCTTTGGTGCTTGTCACTGACCAGGAGGGGACGCTGCTGTGAGAACGGGAGCTGACACTTTCTCAGGGCTGCTGCCAGGGGGAAGCCTGGTTACTGAGCTATTACAGGAGACGGAATTGTGGAAGAAGTTTTCCAGTTGGCCTTGCTGGGGATATGTTTCAGGATTGTCTTTTCATCTGTTTTGTGTGTTGCCTTTTTTTGGGGTTTATTTAAAAATTTCTCTTAACTACCAGCATCTATTTTTTTCCTTATTGCCTGCTCTAATAATATTTGTGTATAGTGTTTATTTTGCATGTTAATTAGTGTTTTCTTATATTTTTTATTGACAAATATTGTTAGTCTCTCAGGCTTTTTAAATTCTGTTTATATGTGTATATGTATATGTATTTTAATACTTTCTTATTTTTTCTGTGGCACCTGCAGCTTTGCAAGTGCAGGAGTTTTTCCTCTCCCTGCAAAATCTTGCAGAATATTTTTGGAGCCATCTCTCACACCCCTGTATCCAGAGTTAATTACCTTTGGTATGTTGATAGTTAGAAATAAGTGCACAGATGTCACAAAGGATTTTTCATCAACTATTCATGCAGTGTTTGTCCTTTCTGGATTTTGGGCTTTTTTTAAATTGTGTTGTGAATTCTTTGTGAAAATGTGGCAGTGTTAGATGATCTAGTGCCAGGAGCAGGTGGGAATATCTCTATTTCATGTGGCTGTCCACTTACATGTGAAAAGTGAAAGTGGGCAAAGTTCCAAGTGTGAGTCGTCACAGCTTGCTGTGTAACTTCCAGCAGCAGGAGATTCCCGTGCTTGCTGATAAAGCAAGAATGGGATTTTCTCCTGAGATTTTTTTAAAATTTAACTCAAGTAATGTGCGTACTGTTCTATAAAGTCTCACTGTGGATTTTTTTTTTGTTGTTTGGGTTCTTTTGGTGTATGTTACATTGGGATATGCTGTCTCTTCATCTTTTGCAAAGATCTTACAAATGCGTCAGCTGTTGTGTGTGGCACCCAGTGAACTGCTGAGTGGAACTTAAATCTATTATGTCTCATGACTTTCCCTTTCTTCATCCTTTTCTGCTCACTTTTTGAGACTATTTCTGATATTTCACTTTTGGCTTTAGGCAGCTTCTTTTGTATCTCAAGAGATATCTGTGACATTTGAAGAGCAGAGTGTCTTCCCTGATATTTTCCTTTGAGCAGGCATGAACTGCAGACAAAACTGCCTTGCACTCATATTTTCTAAGGAGTTTTTAGTTTGAATGTGTGTATGCACAAGTAGGATATTCAGTACTGATGTGGTTTTCCCCTGCCTGAGGTGCAGTAAGAATAACTGCTACCCTTTCACCCTCTTCTCATGCAGATTTGATTATATTTTGTCCAGTTTCTATAGGGTGGGAATTCTTAGTGTGCCAGTTCATATCAGCTGAACTGTATTCACATCTCTTCTCTAGATCTTCTTTTTGTGGCATTTTCATCAGAAGGTTATGAGAGGCTGCTTTTGAATAACCTGTTAAGACTTCTAATGTGAATTTAGTTGTGTTTTGCCAAGTGATTTGTGCTGGAGTTCCTAAGGGGGGAATTACCAGAGAAGGAAAGGGTGATGATATAATGGCACCGTTACAAGTTACAGAAAGCACCTACAATACTAAAACTTTGCCACATTTCTCCATCACTGAACATGAAATATTTGGTATAGGAGACAGGAAAGTGATGCACAGAAGTGGAGCAAAGTGGAGGATGCTGTCAACTCTGAGAAAACATTTGAGGCACTATGGCATTTGCAGAGAGGGGTATGATAAAGGAAGAATTTTCCAGTATTTGAAAATGTGTGGAAACACATTACTACTTAAAGCACTATCTGTTTCTGGCCATCTTTTGCAAAGATCTTACAAATGCGTCAGCTGTTGTGTGTGGCACCCAGTGAACTGCTGAGTGGAACTTAAATCTATTATGTCTCATGACTTTCCCTTTCTTCATCCTTTTCTGCTCACTTTTTGAGACTATTTCTGATATTTCACTTTTGGCTTTAGGCAGCTTCTCCTTTTGTATCTCAGGAGATATCTGTGACATTTGAAGAGCAGAGTGTCTTCCCTGATATTTTCCTTTGAGCAGGCATGAACTGCAGACAAAACTGCCTTGCACTCATATTTTCTAAGGAGTTTTTAGTTTGAATGTGTGTATGCACAAGTAGGATATTCAGTACTGATGTGGTTTTCCCCTGCCTGAGGTGCAGTAAGAATAACTGCTACCCTTTCACCCTCTTCTCATGCAGATTTGATTATATTTTGTCCAGTTTCTATAGGGTGGGAATTCTTAGTGTGCCAGTTCATATCAGCTGAACTGTATTCACATCTCTTCTCTAGATCTTTTTGTGGCATTTTCATCAGAAGGTTATGAGAGGCTGCTTTTGAATAACCTGTTAAGACTTCTAATGTGAATTTAGTTGTGTTTTGCCAAGTGATTTGTGCTGGAGTTCCTAAGGGGGGAATTACCAGAGAAGGAAAGGGTGATGATATAATGGCACCGTTACAAGTTACAGAAAGCACCTACAATACTAAAACTTTGCCACATTTCTCCATCACTGAACATGAAATATTTGGTATAGGAGACAGGAAAGTGATGCACAGAAGTGGAGCAAAGTGGAGGATGCTGTCAACTCTGAGAAAACATTTGAGGCACTATGGCATTTGCAGAGAGGGGTATGATAAAGGAAGAATTTTCCAGTATTTGAAAATGTGTGGAAACACATTACTACTTAAAGCACTATCTGTTTCTGGCTTGGAGGTGGTGAGAAGTAGAACATGAAAATTAGGAGGAAAAAAACAGATTACCAGACCCACAGGTGGAGTTCATGTAGAGAAAGAAGGGCAAACTTCTTGCCTTTTTTTTCCCAAGCTGAGGTCAAAATACTACTTTGGTTTTGCTAGCATGTCCTGTTGTTTCAAAGTGCAAGCTTTCTAGTATTGCTTACCTTCTTGTAGAAGACCTAGAAGAATGATCTGAGGTTTCCACCTTTTTTATGCACCCTGTCAGCAAAAAATTTTACTGAAGGTGAGCACTCACCTTCAGTATGTTTTTATTTCTGAATTATATACATATACCCCTGTACTAATATATATATTATAAAACATACACAAAAATAAAAATTAAAAAAATTAGAGAAAGGTTAAACAAACACTGTTTTAAAACTCTGTTCAGTTATATTTATCAAAGGTGCAAAATCCATTTTCTTCCTGCAACCTAGTGGGTTGGGATATACACCCCACTTTGGAGACTATGACCTGAGATCTCCTGTAAAGTAGTTTAAATAAATTTTCCAGTCATCCAACAGTAACTGTTTTTCTCTCTGTTTTGATGTTTTTGCTGTTTTCGTACCTGACATTTCCACCTTTAAAAAACAGGGCATGGTACATGGGCAAAACCTTTAGATTGTGTCAATGTTGTGATTACAGTCCTGGTCGGACCTCAGGCCTTTGACTCAAAATGCTCAGTTCTCTTTCAGGCAGTCTCACTGGAAGATGACAGTTCAGAGCTGGGAACTGTGTGGGAAATCACTTAGTTATAGTCTTTAACTTACCATTAAGAGATGAAATATGTGTATATGACACAAAAAGTGTCTATGAAGTAGGTTTATTTTTAGCTTGAGAGGATCCAGGTAAATTTTCAGCTATGCTGCACAATGTAAGGTCAGCTTCCAGTCAAATCTCCTTTAGCTCTTACTTTTAGAATTTTCTTCTGTGTCTAGTAGGCAGTTCATATGATCTGTCCAGCTGTGTTCCAGTTTCAACTGTTAATAAATGATGTTGTCTCTTCCAAGGATTACTATGGAATTACATTCCCAGCTCCTGCAACCTTGACAGGCAGAGATGGGAGCCTTGCTAACAACCCGTACTCAGGTGAGTGCTAGCTGAAGATGAGGATGGCAAGTGAGATATGCTGGTTTCTCAGTGCAGGTCATCCTGCTGTTGCTCAAAGAGGAGTTGCTTTTCCCTTCTGTGGTCAAAGAAGCCCTTCCTTGTTCCTGCTCTTGCTTTTTAGCTATCATTGTGCAAAAATTATATTAATGCCATCTCAGATTTCAGCCAGTGGTTTTCATCCACTGCAGCTGATTACAGCTTAAAACTGTAGCCATAGGCATTGTAGTTCCTATAATGATGGTATTAAGTGCTGTCATACTTCCTAGTAACCAGCAAAAAGGAATACTGGTTGAGAGTGAGGTAGAAGGGATTGATGCATGTCACCTCCTTGATATGTGAACATGTGAACATGCTGCTCTGTAGGCTGCCAGAAAGTACAAGTGTTTGTGAATTTTCTGCTTCATGATCACTTCTCTTGGGAGGCTGTTTTTGGGTTAATAACTGAATTTCCCTTCCTGCTTCTTCAATAAGGTGGCCCACGATGCAAGCCTTGCTTTCCTGGCCTTCAGCTACTGTCTTCAGAACTTTGGTGGTGTGAGGAACTGGACATCTTAACTAGACATGCTTGACAAATAAACAGACATTGGCAAAAATATGCCCATCACTGCCTGTAAATCCTAACCTGCTTTCAGCCCATGAAGCTTAGCTAAACAGGTTAACCTCCAGGAGAGTCACCCTTTAACCCAACAACCATTGGCTCTCTGGCTATTTACCATGCTTCTGCTTTTAGCATGTTTTATTGCAATGATCTGGTAGTAATGAGTCTGCTCAGACCATGTGAGATAGGTGAGTACTGGCATCTCTCTTTATCAATGGAGTAGCCATGGCACAGAGTTCTGTGCCACAAACAGGCAATATCCCTGTGGCTGTCAGGAACAGAGACTGGGTGAGGGCTTCCCATAAACAACTGCAGGCTTTCAGGTCTAGGATGTGTTGTGTAGTTGTCTGCTTCTATTTAGAGGATATAAGTCCATTGAATTCTCCACCTTTGCAGTATCATTGATAGCTTTTCTGACCAGTTCTTTCTTTCACAGGTGACGTAACAAAATTTGGCCGTGGAGATACTGCCTCTCCTGCTCCTGCAACCACACTGGCCCAGCCACAGCAGAGCCAGACACAGACTCACCACACGACTCAGCAGCCTTTCCTCAACCCGACCCTGCCCCCAGGGTACAGCTACACTGGGCTCCCTTACTATGCAGGGATGCCTGGTGTTCCCAGTGCATTCCAATATGGGCCAACCATGTTTGTAAGTGTGACAGCCTCAAGTGTAACGCTCCCTGCATGCCTCTCTAGTTTTGCTTTCTCCAGCCCAAACACTCCACATCTTGGAATAATAGGAAGGTTTGGGTTGGAAGGTATCATCAAGGACTGTCTTGTTCCAATCCCCCTGCTGTGGGTGGGGACACCTTGTCATGATCTGTCCTCAAGGACAAGATTCGTGAAGGTTCTTTCCACTGATCTCAGGGTGCAAAAAACTGACACAACAAAGGGGGTTTTGCAGTGATAATCAAAAACAAATGTACCTTTATTGAATGACCACAGAAAAATGCGTTAGGGAGAAGGGAAATGAAGAGAAGGGAAAGAATAAGAAAAAAAGGGGAGGAAAAGAAACCTCCAGATGTGTGGATGACGAAGTCCTTCGAAGTCCAATCAAAAAGCCTGTCATCTTCACGTCAGGGGAGATCTCAGAGCCCCTACCTAACTCAGGGGTTTTTATTATTGAAAGTTGCAAAGCGGGGGAGAACAGGTACAATAGTCCATGATCTCAGCAGTGGGCGAAAGCCATTGTCTTCTCAGTCCATTGGTCAGCTTGCAAGCTCGCTTTGATCACTTGGCCTCTCCACACACACCTTCCCCTCCTGTGGTAGGGATTGCAGTCTCAGTCCTTGGGGAGGAAGGGGGAGCTTTTCCATATAGGGGTCTCATATCTCAGTCCTTGCTGGGAGAAAGACCTCTCCCATCTCAGTCCATCTGTCACGTAGTTGATGTAAAAGAAGGGTCTTTTTTTCATGGAGACCGCCCAAAAGGTTATTCCAGAGAGAACGTCCAGCCAAGTTAGGAGGTGTGGGAAATTCCAGAACCAGTGTTGCGAGGTGGTGCAGGTGAAGGAGGGCAGAGTGTCCCTTTTCTTATTCATGGAGAGCAGCGTCCCATGAGGTGAACAAACACACCTGTGAAACAATGGCTTGGCTTGGTGGGTGACAATTCAAGCAGGACTAGGATCCTAGAACAGGATCTTTCTTTTCCCCAGTGGTCCAAATTTTTGTCTTTTCATGACGATTGGGAGGCAAAGAATGAGGGAAGTTGAACAGACACTTACACATCTTCCACTAGACCAGGTTGCTCAGAACCCTGTCCAGCCTGGCCTTGAACACTCCCAGGGATGTTGGCCATCTACACCTTTTCCAGGCAGCCTGTGCCAGTGCCACACCACCCTCATGGTGATGACTATTTTCTTTATATCTAATCTAAATCTACTACCTTTCAGTTTAAAACATCTGCCCTTTGTCCTGTCACTACAGGGCCTGGAAAATGTTTTTTCCATCTTTCCTATAAGCCTCCTTTAAGTGTAGAAAGGTCACAGTAAGGTCTCCCTAGAGCCTTCTTTTCCCCAGGATGAACAGCCCCAGCTCTCAGCCTGTCCTTATAGGAGAGAGGAGCTCATCCCCTTGAGCACCTCTGTGACCTCCTCTGGATCTGCTCCAACAGGTCCACAGCTTCTTCATACTGAGGACTCCAGAGCTGGAGTATTCAGATGGATGCTCATTAGAATGGAATAGAGCCAACTTCCCCAGTCTGCAGGAGATCTCCAGAAACATGCAACGTCAGAAAATAGTTGCAATCTCACCCAGAAGAAAACAAAATATTTAAAAGGCCAGAACTCATGGACCCCTGTGCAAGTTTGTGTAAATAGCTGACAGCTGCATTTTGTGAACTTGCTGTTCCTGAAAGCCCTTACTAGTCCCTGGAGAGTCAAGGGGAGACCCAAAGCTGAGTCAGTGAGCTGAGAGAGCCTGGATGGAGGAGACCTCATTAAGTCAGAGAGCAGGGCTGGAAGTCTCAGGAGGAAGGAAGTTATTTGGGAAGAGGTGCTGCTCCAGGCAGAAGGGTAGATGAGGCTATTTAGGGCACTGAAGGCTAGTACTTTATGAACAGCCTCAGGCAGGAATTGATGTTTACTTTGATTCTGTGGTTCTCAGGTTTGTGGGTAAAATTTGCTGTTTACATTCAGGATATTAAAGAAATACGCAGCCTGTTTTGAGGGAGGGCTGCACTGCAATCTCAGGGACAGCTCTAGGAGAAATCCTGTGACACAAATCCACCATAGCAAGTTACTGCTGTAAGCAGTCCCATGCCATCCCAGTCCTCCCAGTCCAGACTGAATTCCCGAAATGAGGTAGAAGATGCCTTCCCCACTAGATGGCAGAGGGAGCTTGTGTTCCAGCTGACGGCACTTCTTGTTCCCGTCCTTTGTCCAGGTACCTCCAGCATCTGCTAAACAGCATGGAGTCAACCTGAACACGGCGTCGACTCCCTTTCAGCAGGCGAGTGGCTACAGCCAGCATGGCTACGGTGCAGGTGAGGCTGAGCCCTGCTCCCCTGGGAGCGCGCGGCGCCGCTCGCGCTCCGTAACGCCCTTCTCGTGCACCCCGGCAGGCTACGATGACTTAACGCAGGGAACGGCCACTGGAGATTACAGCAAAGGAGGCTACAGTGGGTCATCTCAAGCACAAAACAAATCTGCTGGCACTGGACCTGGGAAAGGTAACACTTTGAGACTGGAGGTTCCTCTGGAGTTGGGTTTAGTAGGGCAAATTCCCAGTGGTGTGCAGTCAACACAGCAGCGAGCTCTAAACAGGGTTGTGATCCAAGCTGTTTCTCCATCTCCCGCATACAAAATGCTTTTCTAATGGCCCAGTTGCTCCTTCTAAACTTCATGGCTGAACTTTGCATAAAGATTTGTGCAGCTGATGCACAGCTTGGTCCAATTACACATGGGAGAAATGGTAAGCTGCTTCCTAAGCCAAAGCTTTCTTTGCCGAAGAATATAGTGATCCTTCAACAGTGCTGCAATCTTGAAACTTGAGCCATTCAGTGCTGCTGCTGAAATGTTCCTCTGCCAAATCGTAGATAGATTTTAAATTTCCTGGTAGGGACCTGAGACACCCACGTGTTAGAGAGGAGCAGGGCACTTCACACATCTCTGGGCTGTCTAGCTGCTGCCTGTACACACTCATAATGTTGTATCATGCCTGGAAATAGTTTCTTTGTGACCATAAGAGCTGAAGAATTTATCCAGCTCATACAAAAGCTTTATTTGGCACATGCTGGTTAGATCTGAGAAGCATACACTGGGCTGCTTAGCACTATATGGTTCATCCTCATTCTGAAGCAAGTACTAAGCATTTGCTGTGCATATGAAACACCAGGTGGTCACACTGTTTTTAGTGGAGAAGCAATCCAGGAAGTGTCCAAGCAATGCAGCAGTGTCCAGGGAGGGTTACAAAAGCTTAGAGCAGTACCCTTGAGCTCAGATCTCTGACTCACCGACCAAAGCAACCATTGGCTTTATTCTGATCCAAGTGGAATTCTCAGAGCCACCCTCTATAAAACTGTGAACAAGTGTCTCTGGGGCAGCTATGCTGATTGTCAGGGCAGAGGAGCACTGCAGACTTCACTCTTCTGTAGGATGTGAAAGGACAGGGGCTCAGATGTGTAGGAGATGCTGAGTCTCATCATCAGGGCACTACTGGAAAGCTCTTGAATGCTGCAATAGAGCCAAATGCACCTCTGATCCTAGGGAAATGCTGGCTTTTACTAGGCTTCAGTGAGTGGTCAGTGCAGCCAACTGCTGCCTGGTGAAGTGCATTGGAATCTGAGTGTTAATGGCTGGGTGTGGACCAGGGTGATTTATCCCAGTGGGCTTTTGCAGTAGGAACAAAAAGCTGAGCCCTTCCTTCTGTTCCCATGTGAGGTCTGACATCATGGAGAACCAGCAGGGCAGTGCATCCCCTGAGGCTGCATCCCCAGCCAGAGGTGCTGGGAGAAAGCTTGGGCTTCTGCTGGCTGATGGGATGACATTCTCACCTTTGGTGGTGTTTCTGTTTTCCAGGTGTTTCTGTGACCTCAAGTAACACGGGTGTGCCTGATATCAGTGGCTCAGTCTATAACAAGACTCAGGTGAGGAGTGTTGGACCCTCCTCCCTCAGGGCCCAAGGCTGATGACTCCTTCTCCCAGGCTGGCCAGTCTCAGGGTCAGCAGGCCATGACATCTCTAACACTGGCTCTGTTTGCTGCTGGAGTGAAGTCTCATCCTCTGTCCCACTGTTTCTGCGGTGTCAGCTCCTGACAGCAGCTGCTGGCAGAGGCTCAGTGCTCCCTGTGCTGCACACTGCCCATGCTACACCATGCCAGCAGTGTCCTGGGTGCAAGTGAAGTTATGGGTGTTAGCGTTTTTAGTCCAAATAGCCCCCAAAGCAGGTGAGTTGAGAGGCTGTTTGCTTTCCCTCAGAGGGACAGGCAGTAGTGACTGCCTCTAACACCCAAGGGTCTCTGTCCCAAGCTCTTTCCCATGGTCATTGCTCAGTGTGTAGCTTCCCAGGCAAAGCAGAAAGTGCTTTGACAAGCTGTGCAGTGGGCTTTTGTCCAGCTCCTGTTTGTTCCTCTCTGCACCCTCAGCAGGGGAAATAAGTGTCTGGCTGCAATCCATGCTTACAGGTAGGAAGCCAGCTGTCAGCTCCATGCTTAGGGGTCAGGCTTTGGCCAGCAGGAGGAAAATATTACTGCAACTTCCTGTGTTTTTGTTGGGCTGCCCTGGATAGGTTGAGTAATTCTAGGCTGAGCCCACTCACTGGGGGAAGGATTGATTAGGCAGTTGCTGCAATCTCTTGTCCCTCTGAATGGAAATAGGTCAGGGAAAAAAAAACCACAACGTCTGTGAAAATAAAAATTTCAAGAGCCATTAGTGCAGAAATATGGGTGAGAACAGGAGCTGAAACTCATCCTCTGGTGTGCTTGCAGGTATTCAGTGTGACTTGGCTTCCTCGTGGGGTAGGTGAAAGGTTCAGGTGATGTGTGTTTGGGCCACTCTTGTTCTGGTCTGGCTGGGTCTACTCACACCACTCTCTGACACTGTGCCCATTGCCCCCTGTGCAGACGTTTGACAAGCAGGGATTCCATGCTGGCACCCCACCTCCCTTCAGCCTGCCTTCTGCTCTCGGATCCACTGGGCCCCTGAACCCTGGTGCTGCCCCAGGTTATGCTCCAGCCCCGTTTCTCCATATCCTCCCTGCACATCAGCAGCCTCATTCCCAGATGCTGCATCACCACCTTCAGCAGGATGGGCAGGTGAGTCAGCCCCTTCTGCCTCTGCAGCATCCCCAAGAGCACATTGCTTCCATTTCCCAGCAGGGTCTTGGGTGTTTGTTTCCTTCTGCTGTTTGCTTTGCTCACTGGGAAAGGGCCTTGGCAGCAGTGGCTGTTGACCAGCTTAGGGAGGGAAGCTGAAGTTCAGCAAGGGGAAATGCCACTTCTGTCCCTGGGGAGAAAACAGCCCTGTGCACCAAAATAAGTCAGGAACCACCTGCTGGAAAGCAGCTCAGCAGAAAAGGCCCCGGGGGGCCTGCTGAGCACAAACTGACCGTGATGCAGCTATGTGCCCTTCCAGCAAAAAAGGACAATGGGATCCTGAGCTGCACCAGGCTCAGCACTGCCAGCAAGTGAGGGGAACTGCTCCCTGCCCTCTGCTCAGCCCTGGCGAGGCCACAGCTGCAGCATCGCGTCCGGAGCTTGGCTCCCCGTGGTGGGAGAGACATGGATGGGCTGGAGAGGGGCCAGTGAAGGACTGATGGAGGGGCTGGGTCCTGTCTCCTCTGAGGAAAGGCTGGGGGAGCTGGGACAGTTCAGCCTGGAGAGCACTGAGCGGGGATCTCATCAATGTGCAGAAAAGGAAGATGTAAAGAGGATGGAGCCAGGTTCTTTCCAGTGGTGTCCAGTGACAGGAACAGGGGGCACAAACTGAAACACAAGAGGTTCCCTCTGAATATCAGAGAAAATGTTTTTGCTGGAATGATGACCAAACACTGCCCAGGAAGCTGGTGGAGTCTCCATCCTTGAAGTTGTCTGGGAATGATGCTGGGCAGCTGGCTCTTAGGTGATCCTGCTTGAGCAAAGGGGTTGGACAAGATACGAGAGATCCCTGCCAGCCTCAGCCAGGTTGTGATTGTGTGAAGAGCCCATCCTGCTGTGGGCTGGAGAGGTTTGTGGGGTGTGAAGCTGAGCAGGTGCTGCTGTCCCCTGTCAGGGGGGCAGGAGGGCAAGATGTGAGCACTTGTGCTGTGATTCTGGGGAAAAATCAAACATTCCCTGCAGGTTGCATGTCAGTTGTTTCACCTGCACGTGTTTACTTTCCTAACACTAAATATTCTCTGAAAAAAAACAGTGCTCAGCTTTAGAGTCCAGTAATAGGACATGATTTTGCGCTCCAAATGTCTCACATCCTTGTCTGGCTCACCTTGGGAAAGCTCCTTTGCTGTGCCTGGCCCTGCTCCTCACTTCCCTTGTGCTTGAGCCTGATGTGCTTGGGAGGCAGTGGGATGGTGCATCCCCAAACTCCTGCTTGATGTGCCCATGGTTGCTTGGCCTGGACTGGGGGATGTAGAGATGCTGCAGAGCAGAAACAGATCTGTTCAGGGGGGAGCATTGCTGCACTGGTGAGTGTCAGGGCTGTCCCTGGCGATGGTGGGGTGTGCTTGTCTTCTTGGGAATGCTGGTGCTGGGGCAGCTGATGCTCCTGTCTCCTTTGTTTCCCTTTTCTAGGGTGGATCTGGCCAACGCAACCAACCCAGCACCATGCAGCAAAAGTCTCAGGCTACCAAAACCGCCTATGGCACTTCTCCATACTGGACAAACTAAACCTGAAACCGGGGAGGGGGGAGAGAATGAAAGGAGAGGAGGAAGGAAAAAAAAAAAAGAAAACAAAAGCAAAGAAAAGAGAAGAAAGAAAATAAAAGCTGAAGCCCATTCTTGGAATTATTAGGAAAAGTAACTGCTCAGCCAAACATCTGTGCGGGGAGAACTGCAGCCAGCCAGCCATCCTCTGTGTGACTCGCCTGCTTCCTCTTTGAGTTGCTGTTATATGTAATATATTTATGTATGTATTTGTAAATGTAATAGAGCCTAAATGTGGTTTTCTGCATCTTGAAGCCTGTTTTATTTTCTTTGTAGGAAAACTAATTATTCATTTTCCATCTGCACCAGGGCATCGTTCTTTGTTTTGTATTTTAAGTTCTGTGGGTTTTGCAACTCTGTCAGACAAAGACAAACTGCACCCTTTTTTTTTGGAGCTGGAGCCCATTTATTTAATGCAGTTCTAAATTCAGACAAATAAGGAGACCTGCCCTTCCAAAAACCTAAATCAAGATGTGTCCTGTTGGTTTGATTGTATCCCCCAACCCCCAATATAACTGTTATTTTAGAGGGGGAAAATAAAAGAAAGAAAATAAAAAAGTTCTGTGGGCCTTCCCCTTTCTTTCATTTCCTCCCTCCCACCCTCTTGCTGTGGAAGAAAAGCTCTTGTGGGCAGTTTCATCGCTGTGGCCTTGAGCTGCAGTCTCAACTTTTAATTTTTCAATTTTTTAATAATAATAAAAAGGACAGGGTTTTGGTTTTTGTTTGTGCAAAGGTTTTTTGTTGGTGGTATTTTTCTCTAGCAAGAGACTTTGGATGGCTCAGTGTGTCCTGGAACCTCCTTTGCATCATTAGAGGCAAAAACTATGTAGCGGTTTCTTAAATAAAAGTATAAGCTGTGTCTTGTACCTCTTTTTACCCTGAGCCACCTTCCCACGAAAGCCAGAGCTACTGGATGGAAACTTCATCTGTCCCTCCCCACTTTTTTTAAAACAAAAACCTTGGAGGCATCTCCTGGTCCTTCTTGTCCTGCACCAGTGCGGTGAATGTTCTAGGAGTTTCATTTCTTTACAGCCCTTCCTCCACCAAATAAAGATCTGATCATAACTGGTGTTTGTCTGCATTTTCAAAAGCTCCAGGAGTAGTTTTTCAAAGGCTCCAGGAGCAGTTTGACTTTTACAGCCTGTCCCTTTCCACCTGCTCCTGCAACAGCAGCCAAGCTGGGAGGGTAAGAGCAGCAGCTGGGTGTGACAGCAGTGGTTCACCCGTGAGCCCAGAGCTCCCAGGCACCCACAGCAGGATGGGAGCCGGGGCCACACCCTCACTGCTGCCATGAGCCACATGTTCTGCCTTTGGTGTCTCCTGGCCTGGTGCTCCGAGTACCTGAGAGCACTGGGATTGGTGAGGACAGAGCACAGCTGCAGCTCTGCCCTCTCGCTTTGCTCACGAGGTCCATGGGCTCCACTGGGAGGAAGAGCAGGGGTGAGAGCTCCTGAGGGAAGGCTCCTGCCCCAGACTTACCCTTCTGATCACCCTGTCCCCATGCAGCAGAGGAGGTGGGTAAATGCAAAGCACACAACAAGTAAGAGGCACTTATTCTTTCAGTATCCACAAGAAAAAAGAGGTCTGTTTCTACCCTGAGAACCATTTTTCTTTCTCTGTCACCAGCTCTTGCACCCTGTGAGACGCAGTTGTCACCTAGGCCTCCCCCAGACTCTGAGCAGCACAAGAACTACCATGGCATTCCTCTGCCCTGGCTTAGGGTTTGACACTGGTTGAACTCCCAGCAGCTGCTCCAAGCCCTTTTCAGCTGCTGTTCCACTGCCAACAGCTTTGGGACCTGATTGTCAAGGAGGGCAAAAATGTTTCTGCAGGCTGGAGCCCATCAGTATGTACAAGACTGCACCAGCAGCTGAGCCCTCAGAGCAGCAGCACCTCATTTACCCGCTTCAAAACACAGACTTCCCCAGAGCTGCCTTCACTCTCTTGAGGTCTTGTGCTGCCAGTGCTGCCCTGCAGGTGTAGCTCAGTTCTTGCGTGCCTGTCACAGTCCAGAAGCAGCTGAAGCTGGGAAAAGGCAACAGGGGAGAGGTGGTGCCAGCCCCTGAGGCTCCAGCAGCCCCTGAGGCTCAGGTCTCACACCTTCCCAGCTGCTCTGGGGTCCTGCCCACACAGCCACAGGCAGGCTCCTCTCCTATCTTTGTGAGACTCAACAAAATGTTTCTCCCTTCCCCTACATTGTCACTTTGGCAGGACTTGCCTGCAGCAATTTCACTCTCTAGGCCCTGACCACTGATGGCAGAGGCAAGGCTGCCCAGCTGCACTTGGCCACCAAGGAAAGAAGGGGAAAACCCCCCTTTGCTGCACCCCCGACTTACCCAGGGCAGGGTGGACTGGAGCCTTTGCCCTGCCTTTGATCCCACACTGCTGCTGGAGGAAGCAGCTGCTGGCAGTTCTGGGCAGCCCAGTGCTGTGGGGTCAGGCAGGAGATACAAGCAGGCCAGACCCCAGACAGCACCATCCCTCCCAGTCCCTTTCCCTAGGTTACAGACTGCTTTGGGAAGGCAGCTCCAAAATGCCATCGCCCTTCCTCCAGCTCAGCTGCGCGGCAGAAGCAGTTGGGCTCCAGCCACATTTGACTCAGCAGTTGCTGTGCTGCCATCGATACCAAGTGCAGCCAGTGCAACTCCCTAACACTTGTCCCACTAATTTTAGCTCGCCTGCAGCAGCCAGGGCACTGCAAACACCCTGCTCCTGCAGGGAACAGCCCGGGACCGGCAGGGCTGGCACCCGGCAGGGCTGGCAGCCATGACCTCAATTTCTCTGCCAAAGCTGCTCCCTGACCCAGCGGTCAAGCTCCTCCTTCCCCCCTGCCCAGCCCATTCAGGAGCACCGAGCTCCTGCCCTGCCAGGGCACTGGCCACCAGCAGCTCTGGCCCGAGTCCTGCATCCCTGCTCCAGTCACTTGAATCCATAACCACCTTCTCACTGGTCTCCCCCTTCCTACTTAGGAAGACTAAATATAACAGCATTTATTTGGCAAAAAGTCTGGCCTTTTGCCAAAGTCCTCTAATTCGGTTTGTTCTTTAGTCTCAGGTGCAGGCTGTCAAACAGCAGCATTGTTTTGCAATAAACTTATAGATACTGGTGTTTAAATATGTCCATTGATACCAGAGGAGCAATGAACTCATGAACAGCTGTTAAAGCTTTGAGGAACCCCTGCAATGCAACCAGCTCAAACGTGAAAGTAACAGCACGGAGATATTTTCATTTCACATTTTTATTAGTAGACAGATGTGCAGAAAAGACAAAATATAACTACTGAAGGAGAAGACAACACAAAAATGCATCAGTTAATTCTTTCTGGTAAATTATACTGAAGAAAAAAAGGAAAATACTTGGGAGTTCAGCTAAGAAAACTACTAAGAAATCTAGTGTACCCTGCTGGTTTCAGAATGGTTGAAAACTGCACTTGAAGGGACACGTAGCTGCAAATGTAAACGCTAATATTGACTGAAACAGGAGAAAAGGGGTTAAGAAAAACCCAGAATACACAGAGCAGGTAAACATTTTTCTGCAATCTCTTAAATAGTTTCAAAAAAATCCCCTCATACTTCAGTTGTATTTCAAAAAAAGGAAACCAGCAAGTCAACAAGCAATGACACTGCACAGGACAGTGGGGAAGAGAAATTAGTCTGGTTAATGTTGGAGCTCTCAAAAGAGGTTGCTTTTTTTGTCATTAAAAAAGGGTAACAGAAGAGTCATAATAATGCATCTTACAACACCAAGCTTGGAAATACAAGTCACTGGAGAGTATACAGTGAAGACGGTCAAAAGTACAAGGGAAATCCTGAAAGATGCAGTATCCTCATTTCCAACCAAGCCATCAGCAAAGCCAGTGTTGCCACACTCTGCTTCTTCACCCCCCACAGCCGCCCGGAAGCTGGAGCTTGGTGCCCCTGCCCTGGCGTGGCCCCGAGTCCAGTTCTGCAGCCGGGAGCATCAGGGGCCCATTTGCCAGCCCTGGCGCTGCCCTCGCAGGGCTGCTGTGAAGCTGGGGGTGCCCCACACTGACACTAAACGCAGGGGAGCCCCGCTGCAGGCTCCAAAAAGCACCTGGGGCTAAGTCCTTGCTGGAAGAAGGCTGACACCTCAGGAGGGTGCAGCTGCCTTCCCAGGTAACATGCAAGCCGGAGAGCGGGCGGCCGAGGGAGCGCCACTCGGGCAGAGGGATGCGCGCCGGGGCAGGGACTGTCCCTGTAAACCCCAGCCAAATAACACTTTGGAAACAGATCTGCCTCGGAGCCCCGAGGGCCTTCCTCTAATCTCCTCTCCTCGCATCTCCTCTCCGTCGGGGCAGCGCACTCGGAGCTTTTGCTCAGTCCTGCCCCGGCAGTCAGCCACGGAGCGGATCCACAACAAAGGCTGTTCCCACCGAAGCACCCCCGAGGGACCCGCAGCTGGGGACGTACCATGGAAAACCCTGAGACACACGGAGGGAGGCGCAGGCTCTGGTCAGGGGGATGCCTCTGTAGCTGTGGGGACCGAGGGTCCCGCGGGTCCCGCCCAAGCAGTGCCAGCACCTCCGGTCAGCTCCCGGGGCTGCCGACCCAGGGATCACGCCCAAGGGGAACTGGGGGCACGCACCGCAGCCAAACAGGAGCACGCTGCAGCGGGGAGAGCCGAGAGCCTGAGGAAGAGGGGTCTGAGACAGGAACATGCAGGATCCCCCTGAGCTCTGCCAAGGGCTCCCAAAAACATGCGGGAGGCTGAGCTCGGGGCATCAGCTGAAGCACACTGCTGAAGAGCCTGTCAAAGCCTGCTGCTGGGCCCTGAGCGGGGCTGCGCACCGCTGTGCCCGGAGCGGGCGGGGGAGAGCCCAGCGCGGACAGCCCCGACACCCCGCGGGCGCCGAAGCGAGCTCCCAACTCTGCCGGCCCCGCGGGCCCTTCTCTGAATTCCTCCGGGAAATGCATGCAAAGTACTCCTAAAAACAACCCAAAAAACAAAAAAACAAAACAAAACAAAAAAAAATCCCCAAAAAAACCCCCAAAACCAAACAAACTAAAATCTAGTCTTTGCTATCTCTTACCACTCTGCTGAAAAACCACAGTAAATAATTTGGCTCCATAAAAATGCAAGTGCTAGAGGA